AACATGGATAACGGACGGCTACCCAGTCAACCATCATATCGAATTGGAGCAGAAAATAAGCATGGCAGAACCAGCTTGGAAGTGACATCAGGTATGCTTTTTCTGAATTTAATTCTTCTTTTTTCCTATTAGTTTTGGCATCTGATTGTTTTGAGCTAGTTATATTAAGATTTATTTTACTTTGCGGAGTTATCATAATGCTGCAATACTGAGATTGTTTTGAATTTAAGGGTGTGTTGCAACCACGTCAAGACCTGGTGGCTCCATTAGTGACAATGACCATTTACAGAAAGCAAATGCTGATGTCGTTCCTTCACCAGAGGTACGAGTCTGGAATGTTGGCATCTGTTAGGGCTTGCCGGGGTTTGATATTACCGTTTGGTTTTGCATTACATACTCACATTCTGTTTGGTCTTTCAGGGCGTTGATATTGCAAAACCCGCTTCATTTGCTAATGGAGTGGTTCCAGAAAGCACTAAAGTTAACAGTCGTCATGAAGTGTCCGTTGGGCCCTCCAAAATTGAAAAAGAAGAGGGGGAGTTATCACCAGTTGGTGATTTTGGGGAGGATAACTTTGTTGTCTCTGGAGATGCTGGGGTGCAAGCTATGCCTAAGACCAACCATAATGTAGAAAGTAGACAATATCAATCTGGGAATGGGGAAGACACTTGTCAGGATGCTGGAGAAAATGATGCAGATGCTGACGATGAGAACAGTGAAAATGTTTCTGAGGCTGGTGAAGATGCCTCTGGCAGTGAGACAGCTGGTGATGAATGTTCTCGGGAAGAGCAAGGTGAGGAGGAAGATGCTGAGCATGATGATGTTGATGGTAAGGCTGAGAGTGAAGGTGAGGCTGAAGGGGTGGCTGATGGGCACCTTGTTGGAGGAGATGGGATGTCCTTGCAATTGTCAGAACGTTTTCTTTTGTCTGTGAAGCCTGTTGCAAAGCATGTGCCAGCTGCTTTACTTGAAGAAAGGAAAGACTCTCGTGTTTTCTACGGGAATGATAATTTCTATGTGCTTTATAGGCTTCATCAAGTAAAGAGCCACCTTTTCTTTTATTGTTTGCAGGTAGTTTATTTATTTATTTACTACTACATATAAAGCTTGACTTACTTGGTTTTGCCAGATTCTATATGAAAGGATTTCATCTGCAAAAACAAGTTCAACAGGTGCAGAAATGAAGTGGAGAAGTTCAAAGGATAACAGTTCTCCGGATCTGTATGCCAGGTATTTTGCGGAGCCTCTTATCTTTTAAAAAGATAATAGTTAGAACTGCACAACTGCTGAAAGCATTTTTAGTTCGGTTGCGTTATATTTGTTCCTCTATTGTGCAGATTTATGAGTGCTCTATACAGTTTGCTTGATGGATCTGCTGATAATGCAAAATTTGAGGATGAATGCCGAGCAATTATCGGAAACCAGTCATATATATTATTCACATTGGACAAATTAATATATAAATTTGTCAAACAGGTTTGCTCACTTGAAATTCTGTGTTTTTACTTAAAAATAATTTGTCTATTTGCTTTTTCTGCCAAGGTTCTGATTTGTGGTTCTTTATGCAGCTTCAAGCCGTTGCAGCTGATGAGATGGACAATAAGCTTCTTCAATTATATGAATATGAAAAATCCCGTAAAACTGAGAAGTTGATAGATTCTGTTTATTATGAAAATGCACGTGTCCTCCTTCATGAGGAGAACATTTACAGATTGGAATTTGTAAGTTTTTGGACACTTCCAGTTGATTTGACTGTAAATTGAACTTTTTGAAAAGTCTCTCTGATTTTGCGATTTACTTTCCTTTAATTTATTTGTGCAGTTTTCAGCCCCCTCCCGGTTGTCCATCCAGCTGATGGACAGTGTGAGTGAAAAGCCCGAGGTGTTTGCCGTTTCTATGGAACCTAATTTTGCATCTTATCTGCACAATGATTTTCTGCCAGTTTTTCCTGGAAAGAAGGAGCCGCATGGCATTACTCTTCAGAGGTGATAAAGTACTCTTCAGATTTTACATTGCATTAGAGGGTCACAGTAGGAGTCTAGGCTATTCTCTCTGTAAGTCAGCACTTGCATCTTACATAGTTTAGGACGCATTTCTGTGCCTAAAGTTTTCTCGATCCATGCTTTAACCATTTAACTTGTTTGTTCGTTTGTTTTACCCTTTTCTGTCTCTTGCACCTAAATAGAAGCTAAACTATTGTTAAAAGCTTTGACATATGCTAGAACTATTACACTTCTTGAAGAAATGTGACAGACTCTGAAATATAGGGACCGCCCAGTGGATTTAGTTTTGGTCTCTGTTTTTTGGGCAAGAAAAGTTTTATGTAAATTCGCTCGCAGCTTCAATTGCCTTGTGGTATAAAATGTGCTAAATGTTTCTGAAACTTCTTTGTTAGTTAATTCCTAACTCGCTGATCAATCTATTTGTGCAGAAACAAGCGCAAATATGCAGGGCAGGATGAATCCTCTGCCTTCTGCAGGGCCATGGAGGATGTTCAATTGGTCAATGGTTTAGAGTGCAAGATAGCGTGCAACTCATCCAAGGTATCTCGGCTCAGTTGAACTATATTTTTCATGGTGTTTGCCTTTAATCTGTGCACTTCCTATTTTTGAGTTTGATCCAAAGTACCTTCTTTCTCGATAAAAAAATAAAACTTTGGGTAATAACCATTTAGTGATGTGGCTAGAGAGAGTACGATGAAGAAACGAAATCAAAACCATGAAACTGTTTTTTTTCCCTTTCTCTTTTGTGGTTTTTTAGTGGTTGGGAAGGGGGTGGGGGGCAAAGTCAATGCAAGCACTAGACACCGTATATGCATATATTTACATGCATGTTTTTTTTTTCTTTTTTCTTCCATAAAGTTCTATTCATGAAAGTATCATGTGGCAGATCTCTTATGTTCTGGACACAGAAGATTACTTCTTCCGTATGAGAAGGAAAAGGAGAAATCCATCTGGGGCCAGATCACCATACTGTGATCAGTCGAGAGTACAGCGGTTCCACAAATTCTTATCAGTCTCATAATAGCTTTAGAAGGAAATTACTTTGCGATTGGGAAGCTAAAGGTAGACATGAGATAAACGCTTTTGAAACTCTTGAAAAGATGCCTTTTCTTATATGCCACTGGTATACAAGTTTTGGGAGTGAGATTAACCCATGCCTTTTGCAACAGGTGTCATCGACTCGATTTCTGAGAGACTGAGAAGGAAGACAGTGGGGCGGGACATGTTACGTGTTCAGTTCTGAAGATTGGCCTAGGAGCCATTGTTGTGTATATAAGGTTGGTGTATGATAATTTCGTAGAAAGGTATTTTAATTAATGTTCTTGATCTCACCTTCATAAACACACTATAAGTGTAACAAATTGGTCAAATAGCAGAAAAGCACGAGCTTTAACAAATCCTAAGATCTTCAAGTCCATCTTGCAGTTTCATACCAGCATTTTGCAGGCATTACTGCATCATTATTCTTTTGCACCCGAATATTATTTTTTTTGTAGAACAGGTTCTATAATTTTTCAATGTAACATAGTGTGATAAATATTTGACAAGTAATAGCTTACAAGTGTAGTCATTCTTCATCAAGAATTTTGTTCTGCTCTGGGAAACGGATCTGGCACATGGTATTTTGATGTATATTTTCTTATTATATAAATGTTATACTTGGATGCAGTAAATATTACGTTTATATTATTGGACTAGGCTACTTATATGAGAGCGAGAGAGAGAGAGAGAGAGAGAGAGAGAGAGAGAGAGAGAGAGAGAAATATTTTCAGAGGTGCAGACGTGGCTTATGCTAGTTAGCCACAGCAGTGAGCTCGTCTGTTTGCACTCATGTTCTAGTTTCCATTCTCATATATTAGAGTAGTTTAGATTATCATTCATAAAAAAAAAGTAGTTTTCGGAGGTGGTGGTGTTCAAAAAAATAGAAAAGCTAAATCTGGCTCACACAGCAACAAGGGGTTTAGCGTGTCAGGAAAAATGGGCCGAAGCTTGATCGAACCCAGCAAACAGAGATGTCGGGCCTTTCACGTGGTTCTCGTATCTGCAAACGTAACGGACCCCTCGATTAGGGATTAGCTTTCTGCACGCTTGCTTTCTCATGCCACTCGTGGCTTAAGCTGCGCCAGCAGATTACCAGAAGTCGTGACCATTCTTACAAAAATGCCCTTCGCTCCTACAAATATTTATAATTAACTTTTTCTCTAATCAAATTCCCTTTACAAACACAAAAGGAAAAGTGTATTCTGAATCTGAAGAAGGAATTCAAAATGGATTGAAAAAAATAAGGTCTTAGTTCAAGAAATCGTTTTTCTATTTCCAACTCGAAAAACAGTAGAAATGAAAACAACTCAGAAGACCAATGAAAGTTTTATAACAAAATAGTAGAAATGAAAACAACTCAGAAGACCAATGAAGTTTTATAACAAAATAGTGATTTAAAGTTCATGTGGGTTAGGCAAGTTAATAAAGTTTTATAACAAAATGGTGATTTGAAGTAGGCAAGGACGGGGAACTCTCCTTCTGGCACCTAAGTTCGAGTTTCCCTCCCTATAAATTAGATTAATTTAAAATGCTTTAGACTATGACTTGTATTTATTTATAAAAAAAGTGATTTGAATTGTTTTATAATTTGAAAACTTAAAACAAACACAGGTAAATAAGGTGGATCTTGAGGGCATTATGGAAATTTAAGAGAGAAATAAAAACAGCAAACAGAAGTGTTGGGCCGTGGGCGTAGAAATCTGTTAATAAAAGAAAGAAGGAGAGGGAGAGAGAGGTGAGGAAGGAACGCAAAGCCAGGGGAATTCGTAATATCCACTCCCTCCCTATCCACCTATATTACTCTCACAATCCCAATTTCTATTTTGCAATCCATTTTTCTCTCTTCATTTTCCCAATAAAAAATCTCTCTCTCTCTCTCTCTCTCCATAACTATCTATCTATCCCTCTGGGTTTTCCCAAGTTAGGGTTTTACGAATCAAATTGATTTTCTTCCCAATGAGTTCCGGCTCCGTCTCCTGCCCTCCTGCTGTTCCCAAAGACTTGGCTAAGAAGAAGAGGGTAAGGCTCTTCCCAATCTCCGCTTTCTCTTATCTCCTTCTGCATGTCTGCATGTGTGCTTGCTCGGAAATGGAGGGAAATTCAAATATCAAGTTTGAATTTTAACGAAGAATGGGTCCATTCGTGAAATTCACTTGAGTGTTCTCTTTGACAAAATTGTGTTGGAGTTGAATTTTAATTTTTAATATTGCGAGCTCGCTCTTACTTCCATTTTTTTTTCAGACAAACCGGCTGGCCAAATTGAAGCAGAGTAAGCTCGATGTTCGCCGTGAACAATGGCTTTCACATGGTATTTCTTCCATCTCTCTCTAAATTTTCTTTTTAGAGAATAAACAACATTCAAGTATTCTGTTTTGGGTGGAAAACGAGTTAAAGTTTTGATTTTTCACTAGGATTGTCTTTACTATTATATTTTTTCTTCCAAAAAAAAAAAGTGGCACTCGTTTTCTTGATGCATAAATTTCTCAATACAGTTTGTATTGGGATGCAGAAATTGGCATCTGTGAAATGCATCGAATTGAATATGCGGAGGTTAAAAACATTTACACACTTTTTTTTTTTAATGAAAAAGGAAATAAATGTGAAGTTAAGCTGGTCTCTATGGCAATACTAAATGTGTTGTTGGTCGTCAATGTACATAGGTAATGCTAAAAACCAGACCAAGACGCAAAGCTTTTTTATTTATTTCCTGACTTGATTATTCCAATCCGCCCCTTTCATGAATCACAACCAATTTATGAAGTGGCACCTGACACTTTATCTTCTTTTATTGGTCACATAACCAAATACTGGATTTGAAATCAACATAAATTTGATGATCTGATTTCTTCTCCCCACCCTCTCAAAAGGACAAAAGAGGTTCACAAGAATCACTTTTTATAGAATAGTTTAGAAGTTTTTGAAAGTTTATCACATTTTTCTTATGTAATTTTGATGCTGATAAATTTTGTCTGTAATGCAGTCAAGAATAAAGGGCAGAAGGTGAACTTGGATGGAAGGGGTGGGTCACATACACCCTCTAGGCAAATAGATAATGTGCAAAATGGATCATTGGACAATTTGGAAACGGGTTCAACAGGAGGAGAGAATGATAATACGAGCATCCATGACAGCGATTTGGAGTCTCTGATGAACAGCCTGAGTGGAAGAAGTTTGGATTGTAATGATTCAATGAAGAATCTTAGTGAGAGCTGCAGTAGTGGTTGCTCTGGAAATGACAGCAAGGAGGATGCTGATGATGGGTGTCTAGATGACTGGGAGGCTGTGGCAGATGCTTTAAATGCAGATGACAATAAGCATAACCCTATTATTGATTTTCCTGCCAAAGCTGAAATCAGAGTTGAACCAACAAGTCCCGAACTATCTAGGGAGAATCCTGGAGATGAATCATCAAAACCAGAGAACAGAAACATGGTTCCTGGGTCACATACGACGCGTTGCGCTTGGAGACCTGATGATGCTTCTCGTCCTCAGAGCTTGCCCAATGTGCCAAAGCAGCATAGTTTCCTGGTGCAATCAGACTGGCATTGCGGCCATGGAGCCATTGCATGGGCATGGCAAAGCATTGTGCCCCAGCCTTCTTCATGTCCTATATGCTATGAGGATTTAGATGTCACAGACTCGAGCTTTCTTCCGTGTTCATGTGGTTTTCGGCTCTGCCTCTTTTGCCACAAGAGGATTCTAGAGGCAGATGGGCGATGTCCAGGCTGCAGGAAGCAGTATGATCGTGTAAATGGGGTTATAGGCTTTAATGGAGGAGCTACAACTTTTAGAGTAGCTTGATCGTGCAGTGTGAGTACCAGATCCTAGAAAGAGAGTTTCTATTTCTTGAAGTTTATGTATATCGGCTTTCTCTAGTTTTTGTGTCGGTCGTGTCTGTCGCACTTTTATCATAGTTAACAAAAATGCGAGTATAGTGATAGAGGCGGGAAGCAGCCTGGTGGTAACTGAGCTTGGAACTTGGATGAGTCCAATTCCTGTATGATGTTTAGCATATGTTGGTGTAGGAAACTGATGCAGTTATGTGAATACATGGGATGCTACAAACTTTCAGAATAAGAAATTGAAGTGTATCTGCTTTATTCTTACTTGTGTTGCATTTTCTTGAATCAAACGGCTTTTGTGCAATTTTACCATTTTTTTTAATGGTTGTGCCATACTTTCTCCTCTTTTTCAAAATATTTCTTCTGGATCATCTTATGAAGTCAAAAGATTGTGCTTCTGTTGTCATTTGGCTCTTCTGTGGAAGTGAATTTGAGAACCTATGTCTGTTGCTGATGAACATTTTGTGGGCATGAATTTTGATGCCTTATGGCCAGTCCTTGCCAAGTGGACTAGCAAGCATATTTCAAGTTCTGGGTGGAACAGATATTTCTGCCTGTCTTGATTCGTTTGAATTCTTCCCATCTACTGTGGACCTGCCAGATGGGATGTGGAGCCAATGCTTTCTGGTGGCCGAGGTGGTTGCCGCGTTCACCTGCCATGTACATCTGTCCATGTGACCTGTTAAAATCTGAATCCATGCTGGTTATTCTTATTTTCTTTTTCCCCTCTTCTTTTCGGGGTTTCGTTTACTAATAATAAGATACACTACTAGTCATTTTTAATACTCTTTAATCTTTTGAGGTCAGTGAAAATAGGATATTATATTTATAGCATTAGTTTTGTGTGAGAAGTCTCCGGTTCAAAACTTTCTCATTTCCATTCGTCAATTATCTATTAATCCTATACATGGTCAACTCTGCTTTTCGGAAACAACTTATCTGCTTGAGATACATCTATCGTGTTACATGTAAGTTTCTCTCATAAACCAGCAAAGTTTTAAGCGGCTACTACAATCCAAATTAAACGGACGTACACACCGAATTACATGTAAGTTTCTCTCTTAGTTCCCTACCAAAAAACCAACAAAGTTAGGTGGCTAGTACAGCCGAGATGGCCTAATAAGATTGTGAAAACCTCAGACCTAGATCCAAGATGTGTGGCAAATAACCAAGTCACAACTTTTTGCGGGTGATGTTAGATACTTGCCAGTGTATAAATGTCTCTAACTCTACGTATGCATGATGAGTACGAAAGTGTGTCGTGTCCCATGGAGATTCAAACGTAGAAAATCCCGACTCCGATTCACACACGCACACAAGCATAGACCAAAATCTGAGAGACTCTCCTGTAAAAAGACAGTTAGGAGACCATCATATTCGAGAATTGAGAGAAGTAAATGCAGTAAAATAATAATTTTCTTTGTCTTCTCTTTTGGTCCAAAATAAATGCCTTTTTCTATTTTGTACCACAAGTAAATAAATATTCTTTTGCTTTAAAATAAGTTAACGTTCATTGCATGTGGTCACATGGCAATAACTAATAAGAGGCCTAATAATGATAATGCAAGCTGTTCAAAGCACGTGGTCACATGCCTTCATACAGAGGACGAACCTCCTCGAAGCCTTCCCCAAAATGAGAAAAGTAAATAGAAAAATGATTTTTTTAATTATAAATGGTCCATGAATTTGTTATAAGTCTTCATTCAGCTCCTCAAACTCATAAATTAATCAATGTGATCTTTTATCTTTTGGTATACACATTAATCTGGCTTATGTTGCCTCATTTTGATAAAATTTTCGTTAAATTTGATCATGTATCATCATAGGACGAACTTTGAAAAGTTCTTTATGTAAAAATAGTGCTCATCTTTGTTATTAAACTCACGTTTTTGCTTAATAAAGTCATCATTGTTTATATTTTGATTCAATTAAGGAGAACAAATAACATTGTTGAGCAAAATACGTGTGATGATTACTTTTTGTCATCACTAAATAGGTTGTATTTTGATGAAAATATCATTTTAAAGTTCGTCACGTGCCATCATGTGACCAATTTTAACGAGTATTTTGAAATTTTCACGCAATGCAACGAGATGGACCAAACTTCTATGTGAACCAAAACAATAAAGACTATATTGTTTGATTTGAAAATTTGAGGACTCCAATGAAAACCTTTGAAAAGTTAAAACCCATTAGTGATAAAAAACCGAATAGAGAAATTTCTAAACGACCGAAAGCTCGAAGAAAATTCCTCGACAGCAATATTCATTCAATTCAAACCAAACCGGCGAAGCATCCAAATTTACAGACGCGTTTTCCGTTACGCCCAAAGAAATAATAATAAAAGACGTGTTGCGTTTTCAGTTTCCCATATTCTTCTTTCCACACTTTTTCTTTGACCATTTCACTACAAATATACACATTTCTCTCTTCTTTCTTTCCATTTCCGTTTCACGCTCTCAAACAGCTTGCTCTGAAACCTCACAGCGATGCTTTTCCTCAGACCCGTTTCTGTGCTTCTCTTCCTCGTCTCTTTCATTCCCTTTCCCACAAATGCAATCCGATCGTTTCCCGACGCACAAACACAAATGGGTCTGCGATTCTCAGAGGCGCCTGAATACACAAACGGATTGAGCTGCCCTGTTCTGGGTCTGAATTTGAAGAGCTTGGCATTGGCTTGCGATCCCTCGCTTGTTCACGTCGCGATGACCATTGATTCAGAGTACTTGAGAGGCACCATGGCTGCAGTTCACTCTGTTCTCAAGCACGCTTCTTGCCCAGAAAACACCTTCTTCCACTTCATCGCCTCAGATTCAAGTTTGGTCAATTTACAGGACCTCACTCGCATTGTCCAATCCACCTTCCCTTCCCTGAGTTTCAGAGTTTATGTTTTCAGGGAAAGACTCGTCAACAATCTGATTTCGTCTTCGATTCGAAAAGCTCTCGACAACCCATTGAACTACGCGAGAAGCTACTTAGCTGACTTGCTCGACCCCTGTGTGGAGAGAGTGATTTATCTCGACTCTGATGTCATAGCTGTGGATGATGTACACAAGCTATGGAAGATTTCTTTATCTGGGTCGAGGGTGATTGGTGCTCCAGAGTATTGCCATGCAAATTTCACCAAGTATTTTTCTGATGGGTTTTGGAAAGACTCTGAGCTCTCTAAAGTTTTTGAAGGGAAAAAGCCTTGTTATTTCAATACAGGTGTTATGGTGATGGATTTGGTGAGGTGGAGAGAGGGTGAGTATACGAAAAAGATTGAGAATTGGATGGAGATTCAGAAGGAGAGGAGGATTTATGAGCTGGGTTCTCTTCCACCATTTTTACTGGTTTTTGGTGGAGATGTTGAGGCCATCCACCATAGATGGAACCAGCATGGGCTTGGGGGGTGACAATTTGGTGAACAGTTGCAGGTCTTTGCATCCAGGTCCTGTTAGCTTGTTGCATTGGAGTGGTAGAGGGAAGCCATGGTCGAGGCTGGATTTGGGAATGCCTTGTCCAGTTGATCTTCTGTGGGAGCCTTATGATCTCTACAAACACCATCACCATCATCTTCACGATCAGCATCATCTTCAACATCACCACCACCTCCAAACACAACAATTTTCAATGTTGTAGCACAGGATTATTTTTTTGATTATTTATTTTTTGTTTGATTTCCTTCGATTCTTTGGTACATAGGAGATCATAAATTTTACCGTATGTATATACAGACAGAGATGTAAACAGAGTGAAAACTGCGGGACACATTGTTCCAATTCAAGTTCGACATTTTTCTCAAGTTGGTCTCAGATTTTTGATTATTTTGCTATTTTGTTATGGCTTTTCATCCCATCCAGGCTGGGCAGAAGTATAAAACTCAGAACTGCGGTCATTCTCATAACCACTTCCACAATAATTATAAGTGACAGAAATTTCATTGATACTTCTTCCAATCAATATGTTAACAGATGTTTTTACATAGGCGGTGCAGATATATGGACCTTCAAAACAAGGGCTTATAATATACATTTGGAATTGTGGAGACTTGAAAACGATTTCCATATTTTGAAACTTTAATTCAACCAAAATACATACATAACCGCAAAAGCTGCAAGCAAAGATTTAAAATTCATAGGCTGCAAAGAACATGATATCCTGCAAGTAATAATGACTAGAAGCAGAATATGGGGAGCAGTTTCAATTATTCCGAAAGGAGTGTTGGTTGCTATGTATTTCAGCCATACACCCTTGCAGAGGTAAATGGAATTTAAATGTATATTATAGGTTGATTTATAGAACGATGGAAGAGGTCGGAACATGAAGCGATAACTAATTTGGTATTCCGTAAGAAGCTTTCATTTGAAAGAAGAATAATTATACAGATGAACATAAAAAACCAAAAAGGTAGATATAGAAAGGTTGACATAGATGAACATGAAGAATGTACACGCCTCCCACTTTCCTCTCATCACAATAATCCAACAACACAACTCAAATGTAATCTGTTCTCCAAGCCTCTTAAGTGATGTCCTAACAACATGCACCTGCCAGCAGAAAACGAAACCTTTAGAATGCAATCTCTAATGGAACATATCACCTATGTGAAGATTGACAGTTCCCAGAAGTGAGTTATTGCAATGAGAATTTGGATAAGCAAGAAAACAAGCCATTTAACAATGACAATGATATAAGTCTAACCAGAAAAGCAGCTTCGCTAGGTAATCTCGTGAAGTTCCCACGGTATCACATAGTTCGCCATCAGCATCTAGGTCATTCTCTATATTTGCTGGGACGGAATCTTCCACAAATTCTGTCCCATCTTTAAAGAATCTCTGCAATATATTTTGGACAAGCTGGTGTATAATTTCCTCTACCTCTAATGATGATGGCCGAGATAGTTCAGTCACCTGTTAAAACAAATCATCATAGCATTATAATAAGGCTCCACTCTATACAAATATTAACTAAGTAGCAGAGCAACAAAATAGTTAATAGGCAGATTTGAGATTATCACCATATTTGAATCTAAGGATCGTAGATAATCCAATAAATCATTCCTATGTCCTCTGTCATATTCTAATTGCACATTTTCTTGCTTTCGAGCTTTCAGTTCCTGAGACAGAGCAACAAAGCATTAACACATTCTGCTTTAAAATATTGTACAATGCTTTAATCATTCCGAAGAAAGATCAAAAAACCAAATACCAGATAGTTCAATGAATTAAGCTTCATAATATTTAACTCAAAAGAAACAAAACTGTGCATCTTATATAAGACCAACACAAAAGAAAAAAGAAGCGCAAAAACCAAACTTTGAAGCTCATAGACCAAGGAAAATGAAGCTTGCTTTCAAAACTAAAAATTGCAAACAAACAAGTTGTCCCAACTAGAATTCAAAAATTTCACTATGATAGGCACAATTGGAAGAAATGCACTAGAAACTGTGGATGTGAAAAACGTAGGAAACTTAGAGAGCAAATGCTCACCTCCTTCACATTGGTCAACTCCGATTGCAACCTCTGGATATAATTCAAAGCCTCCGGAGACAAATCCCCAAAAACTTGAGGAGCTGTTGAATCCAAGAGTTCGCTACTCATCCCAACGCCATTTATACTACGCATTTCCTCACTCTCTGCCATCTCCGATGCCCCACCAATCTTCGACCGATCCGACGGCATAGAATTTTCCGAAGAAATGTCGAAATTTCTCATCAACGATATCCGATACTCGGCGTTCCACAGCGTGTACCTAATTGATAATTCCGAACCGCGTTTAATTAATCCAATTATGCGCCGAATTCATTGAAATTTGAAGGAAAAGAAAGATATCGTAGAAATGTGAATTACCCGGTGATTATGGAAGAGGCGAGGAGGCGATCGAGAGGGGCTTTGCAAACCCTAACAGTGACGGAGAACTGATCGGACGGGAGTAACCCCAGCATAGTAGAAATCGTCTGCTTCATGGAGTCCTTGGCGGAATCCGAAACGCCCTTGGAGATAACGGAGGTGTCGAGGGGCTCAATCCGCTTCAGCATGTTGGCGATGACGGAGAAGCCGCGGTCGAACCCGGACTTCCGAGTCGAAACGAACTCGTCCGAGACGCCGCCACCGTCTACGCCCGATATGAGGCATCTGACGGCGGGAGATGAGCTGGTGGCTAAACGACGCCGTCGGAAGGAGGGGAGCAGAGGGCGGACGAGAAGGTGGCGGGAAATCGGGGGCGGTGGTTGGCAAGGCTTGAGAGAGAGGTCGGTGAGGCGAGATAGAATGAAGGCTCGGGCTGTGGCCGCCATGAATTGCAAGAAATTACAGAGAGTGAGCTTTTTATTTTTATTACAAGCTCTCCGCCTCTCCGTGTATTACAGAGTGATGATTCTGCCTTTGTGGCTTGTACCTGCTGGAATCTTTATCTTGCCCTTTCATTTTTGTTTGCTCTCGTAAGTTGCGCGTTGGTTAGTGAGATTCCCCTGGTTTTTCAACCGAATTACGGATTCACCACTGGTAGACCAGACGCTTTGTGTATACACCGTACACCGTGGAAGCGAGTACAATTTTGTTGTGAGATTTGCGAATCAAATTTTCATGTGGATGTGGATTAGTCGGTTCCCAATTCCAAATAGTCATTAGTCGCTAATGACTGTCTGGAATGGAACGTGATTCATATTGTGCATGAATTTAAGAAATTGGAATTAATATAATCAAGTGCGTTCATGGAATGTCAACTTGCGATTGGACCAAGTATGAAATAAGGTTGAAGAATGTGGTCACTTTGCATAGACAGCAACGAAAGCCCTCGTCATATTAATTTACAGCAGATGAAGTCATTTTGGTTTAGCCATCTAATGAAAGCGAAAGCAAATATGGATTAGATTAGTTCGTTTTGGTCGACAATGTATTCATAGATTAATTCGTTTTGGTCGACAATGTATTCATAGATCAGTTCGTTTTGGTCGACCATGTATTCACTCTCTTACACCCGACTTTGAACCCACTTCTTGTATATTAGACTAGTTTAGAATTTTGTTGGTCCGGCTGGTCTACTGAGCGCGCTATTGTGTAATGTGTATGGCTCAGATGCCACCTCACCGCAGCTTTGAGACCACAAATGGAGTGATTTGACCCCAGCAAACGGGCCGTTTTATATACCTTCATTATGCATCTTTCTTTTTCTTGGATTCGTCATCCACAACTGAGGTTTTTCCTTGACAACCATTTCAGTGCGCCTCTGCATATAGATGTTTGATGACCAACTATATCCTTAATGGGAGAGAAAACTGAGATTTTGAATTCTCAGATGAACAAAAATCTTGCTGTGCAGTTAGGCATAACCTTGAGTAATCCACCAAAGTGAAACCAAGGGGCAGAACTCAAAGATTATTACCCTTTCACCAGACAACAATGGTAAAATCAGATACAAATACACAATGAGGGAATGGAAAACACACAAAGGATTGATCAACTCCAACTGATTACAACATGAAAACTGAACCATTTCATCTCACATTAAGTAAAACAATTCAATAAAACACTAACAAATACAGGCAAAGTATTGAAAATAAAACCAAAAGATATCTTCTGTTCTAAGATACTAAGCACTCTAGTTTGACAAACCAAAACACATTTGATCGAAGTAGGGAAGACAAAATCTATGGGTCGACTGTGCTTACTTGTTGCCACTCTCCATCGACAGATTCTTTCCACAATGTTACATTGTTATTTCCATCAGCCACAGCAAGTAAGTTTCCGGTTAGTGACCATGACACCCTCCAAACTGGGGTCTTAAAATCCTTCAAAACATTGCCCTCCCACTGCTCACCTTCCTTGGCCACAGTCCAAATAACTACTGTTCCATCCTGTGAAGCACTTGCAATTGTGGACTTGGGAAGTCCCAAGTTGGGTGCCCAAGCTACATCTCTCACCCAATCACTGTGCATCTGAAGGGCAGGGAAGCAATCCATCTTCCATGTCCCATTGTACAGCTTCCACACCTTCACAGTATTATCACACCCGCCAGAAGCCAGCTTATGAACAGGATCAAGCAGACCGGATCCAACTAGAGCACCAGGAGCCATGGATGGGGCCCATGAAACAGATGTTACGCCAATGGGGTGAGCTTGGTCTATCCTAGTGGTGTCCCAACCACCATCCGGCCTGGCAGTGAAAACCGAGATATTCCCATCGGAAGAACCACAAGCTAAGCTAAGGCCAAGTTCATGAGGTGCCCAAGCAATGGAATTTACAGATGACTTGTGATCATTAAACACATGAGCCTGTTGCCATTCATTTGGATTACCCTCCTTCCAAATTATCACCTGGCCATCATAAGAACAGGAAGCAAGGAGTGACCCAAACTTGGGATGCGCCCAAGCTACCTCCCAGACGGGGCCTCTATGAGCTGACAATGTAGCTAGATGCTGTGAACCACTGCCGACACCAATTATCTTAATGGTGGCATCGGACGAAGCTGTTGCTAGACGCTTTCCATAGTAATCCATGGCTACATCGTGGACAATGTCCTGGTGACCCGTTTCAATCTTCTGCGCAGGCATCGTGACTGATTTCTTCTCTTGTGGTAAAAGTCCTCAAATCCCCTTTTCTTCAATTTCTTGGCTGTGTCTCCTATACGCTTCCTCTGGATTCCAATGGTTTGAATATCAAAATTGATGGGAGATAATCCTCTAACTAATTTCTCACATAATTGCATTACAGATAATACCTATCGGTAACAATTCTACAAACAGCAGTAACTCACAAAATTAAAATAAAACGCAGCAAAACTATTAATTTCAGAGAAAATTGACTCATAGCACGTTGAAAATCTAACAGTTCGTAGAAACAAAAATTGTGCAGTATAAAACCCACATTTGATGTTCATATCTTATCAACCCCAAATAATTAACAACAAGAACACGGAGAATATGCACTCAAAGAACTATATAACGTCATAATTGAACTGGAAACTATTTCTTTAAGGTTAATTACCACGAAAAAAGAAAACCTAATAACAATTATTCAAGGAATTGTAATTTTCGAAGGTCCACAAAGAAAGATCTATAAACGAAGAGCGGTAGATCTGAAAATTTAGCGCCACAAACTCTCTCACAGATTTCATATGAGGGAAACGAAATAGAAATAAGAACCCTAACGGATGAACGACATACCTCTGAGAGGAAGATAGAGAACACGTCGTCGTATCTGATCGGAGGTCCAGTTCAGAGAAACGCTTATCGCTCGCTTGTAACTTGTAACTTGTAACTCGTAAGAAGAGAGTCCCAAAAATTTCAGGCTTCAGCTCAGCGTGTGTTTCTTAGGGACGTGTTTGGGCACGGGATCTCTGATATATGATGACAAAGCCAATCCAGACGTGGGAAAAGCCCACTCTTCTAATTGGCCCAATTAGATATGGGCCTTGCTGCTCGCTTAGCCCAATTGGCCCCAATTTTCCCTTTTTACTTTTTTCTAATACTTCCTCCGATTAAATATGGCAAAGAGAAATCAAAGTCAATACTGTGGGAACATCCATAATCCAACCATCAGATGCGTTGCAGTATCAGGTATTGTGGTACAATTGGTTATAACATAAGGGATGTAGGAAATTACATACCTCGCATCAACGATAAGGACTACCGGTAGCATGACTCGAATACTGATAGTACTATAGGAAATTACATATCTCACGGCATAAACAACTTTTTTTTAAAAGTGACAGCAATTCAAAATTGCGCTTATATACAATGCAGAGACTTTATCAACTGAACCAACCCTATAATTTTTCATTATACCGTCTACTCATATTATAAGTTATAACACATAAACCGATTATATCACCCGATAATCCACCTATCATACTCCAATACGACAGGATAATTTTTTCAATTCGTGATTAGTGTTTAGAGTGGACTAACTAGAACAACTAGAAAGAAGACTCTTCTTGGCAGGCCCCACCCACCAGAATCACCAACAAGAGTAAAGTCGGTCGTCTCTTCATTTTCTCCTCCTTCTTCCTCTCCGCTTCTTGAGCTTCAGAATTGAATTTGAGATCCCATTCCATCTCCTCGCACCTCCACCAAACACGGACACATAATCTCATCACTTCACAAAACAAAAGCCATCTTTTTTTTTCTTTTCAAAAAAACTAAAATAAAATATCAGACACAGAAAAGACAGTTAACCTAAGCCCAAAAACAACAGCAGCAGCAACGACAATGGCTTTCTCGTCGTACATGGGCAGCACCCGCCGGGGAGGGTGGGCCAACTCCCTCCTCCCCTCCTCTTCCAACCCCAAATCCAAGCTCACCAGAAAGCCCCGCAGGCGATTGCCTCTCCGAGACTTCATCTTCGCCAACTTCTTCACCATCGGCCTCTCGATCTCCCTCTTCTTTTTCTTCGTCGTCATCCTCCGTTACGGCGTTCCCAGCCCCCTCTCCTCCCACTTCAAATCCAAATCCTCCATCCGTTTCCCCAAGCCCCGAAAGTCCGCTTCCCGCAAACCAGTTTCGGCCGGCGATTCGGGCAGCGACGCCGCGGTAGGGGCCACCGTCGACATCACGACCAAGGAGCTGTACGACAAGATTGAGTTCTCGGATGTGGACGGTGGGCCCTGGAAGCAGGGGTGGAGGGTGAGTTACAAAGGGGACGAGTGGGACTCTGAGAAATTGAAGGTGATTGTGGTGCCCCATTCGCATAACGATCCTGGCTGGAAGCTCACTGTCGAAGAGTACTATGAGAGGCAGTCCAAGCATATACTGGACACCATTGTCGACACGCTTTCGAAGGTGAACAGCTCTGTTTTTTCTTAATTTCTGATTTTCAATGGGTTTGCTGAGCTTAAATTTTGCTTCTTTTGGTTAGTTTTATCATGGGTTTTTTTGTTTTGTTTTAAATGATTAATGCACTTTGTTCCTGTCCTATTTTACGAGGCCTTTTAATGTGCAAACGAGTTTCCGTTTGCAGTTCTAGTTTCTGATAAACTCTGTGTTTTAATTTGATGTCTTATCTTAAATGCTTTTTGCTTGGATGGATTGTTCAACTTATTAGTATTAAAAAGAACCTTATAGAAATGAAGGGAACCCAAGTTACAACAAGTTTTTTGGTTATTATTAAACAACTTCCTTTTTATGTTTTAGCAGTTATTGAAGCTCTTGTTTTTGCATTTCTGTTGAGCTTTTCGTTTTTATTATAAAATTTTTTATGAGTTTGTGTGAGATTCAGTAGAGTGGACTTACTTGGATGTGTAGGATATCCGGCGCAAGTTTATATGGGAAGAGATGTCTTATCTGGAAAGATGGTGGAGGGACTCCTCTGACCTCAAAAGGGAATCATTCACCAATTTGGTGAAGAATGGTCAGCTGGAAATTGTTGGAGGTGGCTGGGTAATGAACGATGAGGTAATATTCATATTCGTAGGGTTTCATACAAGATTATTTAATTTCAAAACTTAAACCACATGCTTCCCCATTTGGGTATAAGTCTTCTCTTCCATTGTCAGAGTTTACCATATGATTAGACTACTCCTAGTACATGAAGTGATTGTGTAACCAGTGCATTCGTACTTTTGAAGCTTAATAGATTGGATCCTCTTCTTCATGCAGGCTAATTCACATTATTATGCCATCATTGAGCAGGTACGTTAAAAGTTTTTATTTTTAATAACAGTTGTTACAATTTTATGCATCTCTTATGCCACTGATTGTTGCTTTTATCTTTGATGTATCAGATGACAGAAGGAAATATGTGGTTGAATGACACCGTGGGGGTTATTCCTAAAAATGCTTGGGCGATTGATCCATTTGGTTACTCACCTACCATGGCATATCTTCTCCGCCGTATGGGTTTTGAAAATATGCTTATTCAGAGGACTCATTATGAGCTGAAGAAGGAACTTGCACTGCATAAAAATTTGGAGTATATATGGCGGCAGAGCTGGGATGTGGATGAAACTACTGATATTTTTGTCCACATGATGCCCTTTTATTCTTATGATATTCCACATACTTGTGGTCCAGAGCCTGCTATTTGTTGTCAGTTCGACTTTGCTCGAATGCGTGGCTTCATGTATGAACTCTGTCCGTGGGGTGAGCATCCAGTAGAGACAAACCAGGAAAATGTTCAGGAGCGGGCACTATTACTACTAGATCAATATAGAAAGAAATCAACACTGTACAGGACAAATACACTTCTTATTCCTCTTGGAGATGATTTCCGCTACATAAGCATTGATGAAGCTGAAGCTCAGTTTAGGAATTATCAGATGTTGTTTGATTATATAAATTCTAATCCCAGTTTAAATACAGAGGCCAAGTTTGGAACTCTAGAAGATTACTTCTGGACCCTTCGTGAGGAGGCTGAAAGAATAAATCACTCACTACCTGGTGAGATTGGTTCCGGTCAGGTTGGGGGTTTTCCTTCTTTGTCAGGTGACTTCTTTACTTATGCTGATAGGCAACAGGACTACTGGAGTGGCTATTATGTTTCGAGGCCTTTTTTCAAGGCTGTTGATCGAGTACTAGAGCAAACACTTCGTACCACAGATATGATGATGGCTTTCCTGCTTGGGTACTGTCAGAGAGCACAATGTGAAAAATTGCCCATGGGGTTCTCCTACAAGTTGGCCGCTGCTAGGAGGAACTTAGCTCTTTTTCAGCATCATGATGGTGTAACTGGTACTGCTAAAGATCATGTGGTCCTGGACTATGGGACTCGGATGCACACTTCTTTGCAGGACTTGCAGATTTTCATGTCTAAAGCTATTGAAGTACTGCTTGGAATACGCCATGAGAAAAATGACAATAACCCTTCTCCGTTTGAGCCAGAACAGGTGAGATCTAAATATGATGTTCAGCCAGTTCATAGAGCAATCATGGCTCGTGAGGGAACTAAACAGTCAGTGGTGTTTTTCAATCCTCTGGGGCAGACAAGAGAAGAGGTTGTGATGCTTATTGTTAACCGTCCAGATGTAACTGTTCTTGACTCAAACTGGACATGTGTTCAAAGCCAAATATCCCCTGAATTGCAGCATGATAAAAGCAAAATTTTCACTGGAAGGCATCGTGTGTACTGGAAGGCTTCTGTTCCTGCTCTGGGCTTGCAAACATATTACATTGCTAATGGGTTTGTTGGATGTGAAAAGGCCAAACCAGCAAAACTAAGATTCTTCTCAAAGTCTATGTCTATATCTTGCCCCACTCCATATGCTTGCTCAAAAGCAGAAGTTGATGTGGCTGAAATCCAGAACAGGCATCAAATACTCACCTTTGATGTCAATCATGGTTTATTGCAGAAAATAAGCTATAAAAATGGTTCCCAAAATGTTGTGGGTGAAGAAATAGCTATGTACTCTAGCTGGGGAAGTGGAGCCTACTTATTTAAACCCAATGGTGATGCCCAGCCTATCATTGAAGCAGGTGGGCAGATGGTGATCTCTGAGGGTCCTTTGGTGCAAGAAGTATATTCTTATCCAAAGACAGCATGGGAGAAGAGCCCCATTTCTCATAGCACCCGTATCTACAATGGAGAGAATACTGTACAGGAGTTTCTTATTGAGAAGGAGTATCATGTTGAGCTTCTCAGCCAGGACTTCAATGACATGGAGTTGATAGTTAGATACAAAACAGATATTGATAACAAAAGAATATTTTTTTCTGATTTAAATGGCTTTCAGATGAGCCGGAGAGAAACCTATGATAAAATCCCAACTCAGGGCAATTATTACCCTATGCCTTCTCTTGCGTTCATGCAAGGATCCAATGGTCAGAGGTTTTCAGTTCATTCTAGGCAGTCATTGGGTGTGGCCAGCCTTAAAAATGGATGGTTGGAGATTATGCTGGACCGTCGTTTGGTAAAAGATGATGGACGAGGTCTTGGACAAGGAGTGATGGATAACCGTGCAATGAATGTAGTCTTCCAGATTGTTGTGGAGTCTAACATTTCAGCCACATCAAACCCAGTTTCCAACCCATTGCCCTTAAGCCCCTCTCTTCTTTCTCATCGTGTCAATGCTCACCTGAACTATCCATTACATGCATTCATTGCCAAGAAGCCAGAGGAGTTATCAGTGCAGCCACCCCCAAGATTTTTCTCCCCTTTAGCTGCTCCCTTACCTTGTGATCTGCATATTGTAAGTTTTAAGGTTCCCCAACCTTTAAAATACTCACAGCAGCCAATCGGAGATTCTAGGTTTGTCCTAATTTTACAGAGACAGAATTGGGACTCTTCATATTGTCGGAGGGGAAGATCAGGGTGCACAAGATTTGCTGATGAGACGGTGAATCTGTTTTACATGTTTAAGGAGCTTTCAGTATTGAATGCAAGAGCCACTTCCTTAAATCTTTTGCACGAAGACACAGATATGCTTGGGTATACTGAGCAGTTTGGAGATGTTGCTCAAGATGGACGCGTTCTCATCTCTCCAATGGAAGTACAGGCTTACAAGTTAGAATTGCGGCCTCACAAATGAATGTACTAGCAACTGATTTCGTTACTGTATTCTCATGAGTGCTGCTTCAATGGCGTTCATAGCTAAGAGAAATGGTGTGTCCTCATCTCTCCCATGGAAATACAGGCTTACAAGTTGGAATTACAGCCACACCAGCGGATGTACATTTCATCACCGTATTCTCATGGATGCTGCAGCGATGGGTTTTAGTAGCAAATAATTGAGTGATTTTTCATATCCCGCTATCAGCATGATCAACCTGGGAGCACATATTTGCTACTATTTCAATACATCTTGCCAAGTCAGGGCAAAGACAAGTTAATCTAGTAGTGATGCAGTCAGAGCAACCATCCATGGTTGAGCAAGTCAATTTGGAAGACATGCCCTCGGGATTCTTTTTGTTGTAAAACTGCTGCTAACAATTATGTGAGATAATTTTGATATTTGGGTTGGGATTACTTGTATGAGATGAGGGACTAGCATTTGTGTTTACCTCTTCAAAAACGGTAGCGAGGCCAATAGTGATGCTTTGGCTTTTGTTTCATATATGATTTTGTCTGAGGTTCTAGAGTCGTGCTTTATTAATGAAGTCTGAAGATTGACGGTTGAAAATTGGTCATATCCTACTGCATGAATTTTCACAACACACCTTACTGAAGCTTTTTGTTTTTTAATTTAGTTTTAACAGTAAGATGGGAAGTATGCAACTAAAATTTTGTTTTCTAATGCTTGCCTTGAAATAGATATTATTAATGTTTATCACTGAATTCGAATACAAATTGCAAGAAAATATTCAGAAACATTTCCTTCAACAAAATAGTAACTTTTAGCTATCTGATACAGATGCATGTGCACACGGAACCATAACAAAAATTTTCTTTTCTGTTGCTGTCTGAATAAAAATGTTGCCTAGCTGTTCTTGTAGCTCAATCATACAATATGGTTAACCAAAATAATTTAAGCAAAAAACTCTGGCATGCACACAAGTAGCAAACAAAACCAGGAAGCTTTTGCAATCTATCTCTTCAGTATTACAAAATGATTTCCTCCTGTACGCTAACATTAAGAATCTTATTTGGGAGAACAATGCTGTTAATCACCACAACTTCGTCTTCGACTGTCACCTCTTCTCCTGCCAAAAGAATAACAGAGAGCTCAAATTGGTCAATTGCTTAAAAATTTCTTTGCGCATTGACAGCATCAAATCATAGAAGAAAGACATGAGAAACCAAGCATGCATACCAAGGATTGTGATTCCAAGTTTTGCATTGTAGTCTCCGTCAGCCTAAACCAATCCAATAAATTTTAGTTAGCTACAAGTCCAGAGAAACTTTTGAATCAGCCTTCAGATCATGTTGGAAATAAAACTTTATTTCCAGGTCAAGAATGGAGTTCTGTTTACTGACATTTCTCTTTGATTTTTAATTATTTTTAATCTTTCACTTCAAAATAGTTTTTGTATTTCGAGAATTTTCCTTATCCCTAGCTGAGATTGATCTCTCTCAAATTGACGTGATCTAACAGACTTTATTATGACATGATGCAACTACATCATTAGACATGCCTGGACACGCGACCATTTGCCAATAGACGACTTCCATCCAACAATAGCATGTATAACAACTGCATTTTCCTGTCATGAAAAAGAACATTTAAGTTTGGAATAAACACTCCCATGACATTGTAGTTCTAGTTTATCCATGGATACCAACTTCAATACCTTGATTTCCACATCATCCAAGACAATGCAACTTATAAGCCTTACCCCTGCACCTACGCGAACATTTGCTGAAAGAGAGACGTTGGGACCAATCTGTGCACAAAAGTAACTCACACTTTAGAAGGGATTATGCTGCATCCACTATATTCACCGTCCTACTTCAATATTCATCTACAATATATACATGCAACCGCAAACAAGGACAGAACAAATGGTAAAAGATGATATGGAAGTGGAACTACCTTAGCAGTTGGATGCACTTTTGCTGAAGGATGAACATAAACATTACCAACAACTGTGGCATTCTTTGTACCATCTCCACTAGCTAAAAGATGTGCAGAGTTAATTCGGAATTGAGAAAGATACAAACCCGAACACTTCAAAGACATTCTGTAATATTACACAAAGATTAGTATAAGGCAAATGATAGTAAGAGAGGTTAAGGAAAAAGGAAAAATTAAATGACGCTATTAGGAAAAATTACTCTACCCTGGAGTCTTTATTTGTTCCCAGAAATCCATGGTCTCATATGTATAGAGTTGCTTCTTTCCAGCAAGAGGTGACAAAATATCTTGATCCAATCTGACAAAATCTGTAGGAAGAGTCCTGTTGAAAAGAGTCTATCAACATGAAAACTGACACCAACAGAGGCTTAAAATGATGTAATAATACATTGAATTTTGAGCAATAACAACTCTATTTCTAAACACACATATTGCCTTCATGCCCCAATAGATGAAATTCCAGGGGATTGATTGCAAACAGAAGTTCCTTCTTCTAGTATTAACACAAAAAATATCATAACTTATAAACAGGTAATCACAACAGAAACGATCTGGAAAGCATGTTGCAATTTATATGCACCAAAAAACATGTTGCAACTTCTGACACAATTAGTAATCATTTTTTGTGCAAAATGGAAATTTAAAGGAGAAATAGCTATCAGTTCATTATTCAAAGTACGCAACCAGGAGAAAGAGGCCAACCTTGTTGCAGACTGGAGGGCTTCAAAGCTGGAGATACGACGTAAATTAGCTGCAATTAACAAAATACAAGTCACACTACCAGAAATTGGAGAAATTTTCTTGCATATTGAAGAATGAATTAAATAATCAGATATGGAGGAAAGTCAATCAACGTGGCGTGCACCATTTCCAATTCATTAGATAATGTGGATATTACATATCATGCAGATGATCCAAGGTGCAAACGAACATACAACGAATAATGCCATAAAAAAAGAATAAAAAAAGAGCAACCTCTGCCCTCTCGGTGAGTGGAGACATCTTGAATGGCAGTAAAAATGTCTGGGGTAAATACATAAACACCACAGTTTATCAAATCACTCACCTGCATTTTGGAAAACAGATAACCTTTACAAAATGTGGCTGGGAACAAGAAAATATAAATGAACAATTGGGGTCACTAACACCAATTATATGAACAATATCTGGAAATTAACTACACCATGTACGTACAAAAGTCTCTGGTTTCTCGGTGTAATGCAAAAGTTCTTTGGTGGTTGGATCAGCAACCAACTCCCCAAACTGGTTGGCAGATTCAGCAGAAACCTACAGATAAACCCAAAAACAAGGAAAATGAAAAAAACAACAATGGATAATGAAAAACGAAGAGGAAAGAACTTCAGAAATATGGACCAGAGTTGCAACATTTATTCAACCATTCAAGCAGTTTGTCAACATACAAACCTTGATTACTAACATTGTACCCATCCCACCATATCCTTTATGAGCCTCTGCAAGAATAAACAAAAACAGAATGCAATAGAAGCAATTACTTTTCGCAAGTCTTATCCGTAATTTAAACCAATAAAATCCAAGTTCACATACAGAATAAGGAATACAAAGCTCACCAATCATGTCTGGTAGTGGAAAACTGCAGCAAACATCACAATTCAGCAAAAAGATATACGACTGCCCAACAAATACAAACACAACATTATATTAAGTAAAATCTTATTAATACATAAAAATGGAAACGAAGAAGAGTTAAGCAGAGAATTCGAACCGGGCTGTCTTCCATGATAATATCTCTGTAGTAATAAAGGCCACCGGCAGAGCCATGCGGCTTGTCCTCTCTCAAGTACCTAACTGGTACTTTGAGCTCATTGGAAATGGAAGACACATACAGTGCGAATTCCCGCTCTTCATAGAATCCAACTAAAAAGATTTGAGCCAAATTGGGTATCTGTAAAATAACAGTAAGCATTCAGAATTTTCTGTTAAATTTGAAATCCATAATCTTTGATGGGATTTTGGTTGAAGATTAAGAAAGCCAAAAGCCAAAAGCCAACCCTTTTACAAGCTGAAATGGGATGGTGCACCATAGCTTGCCCAGCCAATGGGAACAGCGGTTTCGGAGTGTTGAATGAAAGAGGCCGAAATCTAGTGCCTGCCCAGATGAACAAACAGAACAAAAATCAGCAAAATTGAAGACTTCATTTATTTCATAAAAAAAAAAGAATGAATTACATGAACAATACCTTTGGTTGGCCCGCCCACCATGATTACAGCGACTACCTTCTCCTCCATGGCGGAAACAGAAACGAAAACCCTAGATCTCGAGCTGGCGAGGAGATCTCAGCTGCTCAAAGTGTTCATAGGTTAAACTGATGTCCAGACAAGTTGAAAGCTTGAAGCTTTGAAGGAAGAGTTCGTTACTGACTCACTGTCCAAACTCGTACGTTTTAAAAGCACTTCACGACTTCTTGCTTCTGTGGTGAGACTTGCAAACTAATCAATAATTTTCCAAAGCGGATCTCAATAGAGAATATTATTTGTAAGTTGTAACCAAACTCCTACACGACGTCGTCAGGCGCAAGGTACGTTTATAAGCACGTGACGTGAGGCATTTAAGAGTTTAGCTTTTTATACATACTTTCATTTTAATGTGACATTTTATCTAAAAATTCTTAGAGAGTCTAATTTTGAAAGAAAATTTCATAATTAGTCACTTGTTATTTTCTAATTGGTTCTTAGTGTGTTATAATTTCCTAAGAATCGTTTAAAAATGACAAGTGGTTAGTTGAGGGTTTTACTCTCCCAATAGGTATTTGTATAAAATGTTATGTTAGAATGTGCCAATTTATGTAAAGCCTTTAAGAGTTTGATATAGAAAGAAGAGGCCCATTTTATAGTGTAAAAATTTTCTCCTTAAAACACATAAAAATTAGAGTTCATTCACTTCAAGTTTTTGTTTTCCATTTATACAAGTAATATTGAGAAAGGAGAGAATCGAACCTATGACCTCGGGTGCAAAATAAATATTTATCATCACTTGAGCTACAATCCATTTACCACTTCAAGTTTACTACATCAAGTGCATCCAACATAGTAGTTGTAATATACATTTTGTTTTCTTACATTTATATTATATTTTTCCCTTCTTCACTGCGTTGGATATTTTTATTTCTTCTTCTAATTTTCCCTCCTTCACTGTTTTCGAGGAGCAGAATACCACCCCAATGGCTTTTCAGAAGTGTAGTGGGTGACCTGCTTTATGCTCAAGTAGTTTTCCAGGCCCCTGCAAGTGCAGCACACAATCAATTATTAGACAAGAAGTTATATACAACCATCCAAGTAAGGAAAGCCCTTGCTTGGAAACTTTGAATGTGCCTTACCATTCTCCAAGTTCACGCCCAATTCCGCTGCGCTTGTTGCCTCCCCAGGGGGCTTCATTGAAGCAGGGCTGTGAGCAGTTTATCCACACAATCCCTGACTGCACAGCCTGCAAAACATAAACCAAATGTTTCTCTGGAAACATGCAAGATATATGTAAGTAGACCTCAGCTTGAGATTGCTACGTATGATAGTCTTACCTTGGTGAAGCGTTCACACCTTTCCAAATCTTTTGAAATCACAGCAGCCCCCAAGCCATAGCTATGAGGCAGAGACAGAGGCATCAAATATTGGTTGCTTGTCAAATAGGGAAAAACAAGTTTGCAGACAAGTGCTGGAGCAAAAACATTTTACTCACTCAGTGTCGTTTGCTAGTTCGATGGCTTCATTCTCCGTAGTGAATGTTTTGACACATAAAACCGGTCCGAAAATCTCCTCCCTCCAAATTGACATTGAGGTGCTAACATCTGTTATGATTGTTGGTTCAATGAAAAACCCTTTCTTAAGATGCTGCCATTCATCCATACAACGTGGTTTAGAAGACTGCAAGAGAAGATGCTGGCATGATATTTATATTTGAGAAAGTGAGAATCAGACAGGTTTTTACTTGAGGACGGGCACCTCCATTTAGAATGGTTGCACCTTCGCTCTTGGCTGTTGAAATGAAACTCATGATCCTCTCATACTAAAGAAAACAGAACAATTGTTATTCAGTAGGGCTCAAATTTGACATCTCTGCTAAAATAAAACGTCGTCCTTCACTACACTCTTTGTTGCATGCAAAGTAAAAATGGAGTGACAGAGCTAAAATCAGCCAACATTAATACCTGTCCTTCACTTATAATGGCACCAAGCCTGCAACCTTCTTCCATGGGATCAGAGATTTTGATGTTCTTACTCCAGTCAACAAGTTTTTCCAAGAATTCAGCTGCAATGCTTTCCTGACATAATTGGGGCGCATTATGAGAATTGTTGACACTTAACTAGAAAGAATATAGGGTTTAGGGTTTAGGGAGACAACAAAATGGTCTGCTTCTCATGCTTACATGAACAAGAAGACGGGACGTTGCACTACAGATTTGACCATTTGTAAAAAAGCAGCCAAAGATAGTCCATTCTGCAGCTGTTCCATTATTCAGTTATATCACGCTTAGGCTCTCAAAGATGATAAACGTTCTACCAGTAACCAAAATATAATGTGATGAAGCTTCCAGCATCTTATTAGAAAGTAAATTTTTTTCCCTCCCCCAAACACTTACCAGTATCAAGGTCTGCATCCTCAAACACAACAATTGGACTCTTTCCACCAAGTTCCAATGACACAGGCTGCAAGAAGCAATATACTAGATCAGAAGACAAGGGAAAGAGAATCGATGTTTGTGATTTTGGAGATTGCAATACTTGCATATGCAAAAAGTGTAGGACAAGACCTTGATCAATTGAGCTGCAGCTGTCATGACCTTAATTCCTGTTGCTGTGCTTCCAGTAAATGCTATCTGATTAATACGAAAAGTTACTTAATTTCACCAGATAAAGATACAATTGGAAAGAAACTGCATGAGTGACTTATGCAGGGTTTTTTCAAAGTCTTGAACAATTTGAAACGGAAATTAAAAGCCAGACCTTATCAACATGACGATGAGATGACATAGGGGCACCAGCTACTGAGCCTGACCCAGTCACAACATTAAGGACGCCAGAAGGAAGACCCCCCTGTCTGCAAATCTCTGCCAACTCCAAACAAGTCCTGCAAATAATATTAGGATGACAAACCCAGAATCTAGTTATGGAAACATAATGAGAAGAGCAATCGAAAAATAGGTGTGAAACTCTCACACAGATGCCAATTCGGATGGCTTGAGTATAGCAGTACATCCGGCGGCCAGAGCAGGAGCAACCTTCCAGGTAGCCATCAAAAGAGGGTAGTTCCTTCAGCACACAGATGAAATTAATTGACTATATTTTTTCCATTTATAAAAAAGTACAATTTTCAGAATAAGAAGGTAAAACAAAGAGGAAAGCAAATAGATGAGCAAAGGAAATGGAATAAGTAAAAGATACCAAGGAGTAATAAGGGCAACAACTCCAATGGGTTCTTTAAGGACATGGGTCTTGAATGACTGCTGGCTGCTGTATAGGCACAGTAATTTTTTGCTTCAAATCCAATGCTTCTGCAAGCTCTGCATAATACTTGAAGCAAGAAGCACAACTTTCCTGAATTGGACATAATTAAGCCCACTTAATAACTTAGAAAAAATTTGATAAATTAAACATACTCTAATATACAACAAAGACTGTACTAGTGTATATACCATATCAGATATTGCTTCATCTAGTGGCTTGCCGGTGTCGATTGTTTCAAGTTTGGCCAGTAGAGACTTTCTCTCCAAAATCTGCATGGAAATAGGAAGAAGAAGAAGGTCAAGAAAAAAAAAATTGCAGAGCTGATCTGTATATTAACAATTATGATAATGAGATTAATATATACCATGTCAGAAATGGCACGAAGAAACTTTGCACGATAAGCACCAGAAGCAGAGGACCAATCCTTCCCTTCATTACTGAAGAACGCCGTGCGAGCAGCATCCACTGCCATATCCACGTCTTCAGCAGTAGCAGCTGCTATGTCCCCTGAAAAAGGAAAAAAAGAAAGAGCAAATAGCTGCTGAAATTAAACTTGGTCCATGATTTCTGTACACGTATATAATTTGAAGTTGAAATGAAAGACTACATACCTACAATCTCTTCAGTGGCGGGGTTGATGATTGGGATCCTTTTCTCCAGAAGCGCTTCTCTCCATTCGCCGGCGATGAAGAGCTGACGAGAAGGAACTGGGACGGCCATGATCAGCAATGTTTAAGTCAACTGTCACACAGACACTCACTGAGTCGACACAGAAGTGTTAAGTGTGGACTTATGCATGCATTGTTTTTCAATGGACTTTAAACTTTTCTCTAGCGTCCTCTCCTGCGGGTCTTTGTCAAAAAATTTATACTTTCATTTCTTTTCTTAGTTGTTATCGTTTTCCTCGTTTTCGGTTGCGCCTTGCCATCCCTACATTAAACGATTATTTGCTTCTCTGTCCTTTTCGCTAAGAAGACGACTGCTTGCAGATTTAATAATGGTCTTTGTGGAATTGAGTGCCCACGAGGTGCAGGAAACTAAGTAAATTTACTGGTTTTGTATGGAAAAATTACAGACTTGACTGATCGAAATTACATCCATTCTGTGAATTTCCACGTCCGGGTAGATTATTATGCCAGCAGTGATACATCTTTAAATCGTGCTTTAAAAACCAACGAAAAAGAAAATCCAAATGATTCATGGATATGAACCACAAACTACATTATATTGCCTGCCAAAAAAAGTTACACATCCAATCCCTTTGCATGTTTCTTTACATGCCCACACAAACACAACCGCACGAACCCCAAACACGAGCTATCAATGCGATGCATGCTGATCTCCAAGCAGAGAAGATTGGTATCATAATCCTGTTAACCTTTGGTAACATCTATCTCATGTTTTTCTGAGCTTCAAGATGTACATGAAGAGTTCCAGAACGATGACAAAAGAAGCGCTGCAGGACCCATTTGTAATCCCCGACAGGCTCACTGAAGGAGTTTATCAGCCAATATTCAGAAAATCACTTTGAGTCCACAACAAATGGCCTACTATCTCACAGTTAGTTCTGTCAAGGTGAAGAAAATCGTCAAAAGTTATAAAGCTATTGTCCAACACATTCCAACTGCAATGTTAAATCCTTGATTCCAGCTTCGTACAGCACATGTGACACCTGTGCCTTCGCAGAAGCCTTGTCAATGTCTGTTGAAACATGAAGATGGAGAGTCCCCACTACTTCTGAGTTGGTGAAGTTCCATATATGCAAGTTTCGAATGCCAGAAATCCCCCGTATCTTACTAACATCAATAAGAGCTTTTCTCAAATCCTGCTCATGTGCTCTGGGAACTCTTTGGAGCAAGATTTCTGCTGAGTTTCTCAGCAATGGGATAACTGAAGATATAATCAAGACAGAAATAAATATCGAGCAGGCAGGATCAGCAACAAGCCATCCCTTGTACTTAATCAAGACAGTTGATATAACAACTCCGACACTTCCCAAGGTGTCAGCCAAAACATGCAAAAATATTCCTTCCATGTTGTGGTCAATGTGGTGGTGCTGATGCTTAGCTGTTTTTTCTCCATCAGTTGGCAGTTTTTTCAGCGGAAAACCTGCCCCTTGAATGTGAGATTCCGCCACTTTATTGCCTTCAGAAGAATGAGTATGCTGGCGGACGTGGTCATGGTGTTCGTGCTGGCGGGCGTGGTCATGGTGTTCGTGCTGGTGACTGTGGCCATGGTGGTCGTGCTGGTGACTGTGTCCATGGTGGTCGTGCTGGTGACTCTGTCCATGGTGGTCGTGCTGGTGACTCTGTCCATGGTGTTCGTGCTGGTGACTGTGGCCATGGTGGTCGTGCTGGTGACTGTGTCCATGGTGGTCGTGCTGGTGACTCTGTCCATGGTGGTCGTGCTGGTGACTCTGTCCATGATGGTCGTGCTGGTGACTGTGGCCATCGTGATCATGGCACTCATTGCTCCCAAAATTGTGGTCTTTAGAACCGATATAACTGCCATGTTGGTGTTCATGATGGTCATCATGGCCGGAACATGAATTTTCATGGCATTCAATGGAAATAGGTATAGACTCCTCATGCTTCCCATGACCTCCATGATCATGTCCAACAGATTCATGCGAATGCTGGTGAGGGTGGGAGTGGGAGCATGATCCAGATCCACCATGAGCATGATGATGCTCCTCGTGAAAGAAGACTAAGCCAACCACATTGACAAGAAGCCCTCCAATTGAAACAACTAATAAACTGCTAGTTGATATCTCCTGAGGGTCCAAAATCCTCTCAAACGACTCCAACACTATTAATGCTCCAACCAACACCAGGAAAACAGCATTAGTATATCCTGAAAGAACCTCAAATCTCCCACGACCATAATTAAACTGATGATTCGCAGGCAAACGTGAAATATACGAAGCATATAGCCCAATTGCCAGGGCAGCACAATCAAACAACATGTGACAGGCATCTGATATCAGCCCTAGACTATTACTCATGAACCCAGCAGCAAATTCCACAAACATGTATGCAGTATTGATCAGAAGGAAAAGTGCAATCTTGCGGGACTTCCTCTCACTCAAAATGTGTCTAATAGGCTTCATAATGGCAGTAGTAAAGGATTCAGAAGAGTCCATCCCCAGTTCAAGATAATTTGAGTAATAAGGATCCAATTCCCTAACAGCAACATATAGTAACAAACCACAGAGCAATAGTCCCCAGAGTGATAGTTCAGGAAAATAAAACAACTCCAAAACAAGAGTGCATAAAAATGTAACCAAATACTCTTTCCGGAAATCTTTAGAACTCACTGACTTGTCATCACCATAACTTTCACTAAGAAGCACCCCAAAAACAACAGTGTTTGCCAGAGGCCAAGCCAAATTTCCAATGGAAACTCCATCTCCCTCAGCTTCAAACATGAAAACACTAACAACAGCAGGAATGAAAAGCACTACAGTTGTAAAGAACAACGAAATTAAACGAACCCTCTTCCGACCTAATTGCCTAATTGTCCCCCAATTCATCGAAACACGCTCGTAACACCCCAAAAACCCAGATAGAAATGGAAGCAACATTGGCCAAATTCTAACACAATCCACTCTTGGAAACACCGAAAGTCCCAAACTTTCAACCGACTTAGCAGAAAATGGGAAGCATTCAATCCGATCCCAACTCAAAGATAACAAAAGCAACCCAGAAAACAGAGCGAGGAACCCACGAACCTTGGAGGACCGATTCCGATCGCCACCGAGATTCGAGTCCCAGCCCTCGGCCAGGAACCGTGCGGCAACGTTTCCGGACAATTCAGCGAGAATCATGGCGGCGGCGCCGCAATATCGAAGCGCCTGAAAACGAAGCAGGAAGACGACGGCGAGAAGAATCGATTTGGCGACCAAGAGTCTGTGCTGGGATTGCGTGATCAGGGTGAAAGAGAAGATGGGTTGGTTTTGCTTTTGGTGAAACGGGTCTTTGGAAGAAGAGGAGGAGGAGGAGGTGAAGAGGGAGCAAGAGAGGGTTAGCAGGAAAGACAGGAGAGAGACAAGGAAAGAGAAGGGGAAGAGAGAGAAAGAAGGGGAGGAGCGAAGAAACGGAAGGAGGGAATAGAGGGAGCGAAGAGAGAGAAGGAGGAAGAAGAGAAATGAAAGAGAGGACTTGCTATTGTTGTTGGGGTTGAATGGTTTGGGGTTGAGAGAAGAGAGGCGATGTTTGGACGGAGTTGCGATTGGGGTTGAAGACGATGAGAAAGGGTAAACAGGGTATTGTCTAGACGTGGTGGGTGTGGTGGGGAAAGCGGTAGGTGTAGCGGCGAAGGTGGTGGGGCGTTGAGGGAGTGAGAGGCGGTGAGGCCTGTGCTGGTGGTGGTGGTGGTTGTGGTCGTGATCGGCCATGTTTGCTGGTTGCTGGTTGGAGATGGTTTGGTTGGGGCCTCTGGAGGTTTGAGTTTAAGGACGTTGATACTTTTCCAAAGGTCAGTGACGGTCGGATGGATCCGAATGGAGTCTCTCAGACCCAGCAAAGGGTCCGAGGGAGGAGAGACTTTTCTCGGCGGGGTCTACGGAGTGACGAGTCCGTTGAACCCAACTTGCATTTCATCAATGGGTATGGATGCTGATGACCGTTGGATTGAATTTTTTTTCATTTATTTCCCATTTGATGGTCCATTGCTTCTGGAGAGTCTATATGCTACAGTATGCCTTCTGGTTGGGGCATTTGATTTGACCGGACAACCGGGTGCAAAGATAACACAATAATGGCTCATTTGGGATTGTTTATCTGGGAATCACTTGTGTTTATAAGCGTTTTTAACAAGAATATTTTATTATAAATAAAGATGTTGAAATTTTTATAAGAAATCTAAGTGCAGTGTTTCTACGACTCAAAAACATTTCTAAAATTTATCAAACGTTCTCAAAAGCGCTTTTGATTGTCATAAAACACTTTTAGCATTTTCGGAAACATTCTCACACCCTAAAATTTGAATTCTCATGACATCTTGGTCGTGTGTGTAAAAAAAACCCTCATTTCGAGCCTTTGCATTTAGAGACAGTGCATTTACCCGCATTTCATAAAATCCAGACCATTCAACTAATCCAATGCTTATGAGAATGCCACATCGCCTACAATAAGTTTATTTCCTTTTTATATAAAACTGACGCCATTACTTGTATCTTCCTCCTCTCTCTCAACTCGCTCATTCATCTAGTTTCTCATGTTGTCCTCACTCCTTTTTTTGTTACAATATGAACGGATTTTGGCTAATAATCTTGTTTTTCTTCCCGATCTCTTGGACTACAGGGGTCCAAAAGATTTGTGGTCACCCACCGTTGTATGCAAATTCAACGATTCACTCACTCTTGCACTCCTTTTAAGAAATTTTTTTGAACCGTTGGATGTTAATCTAACGGTGAGTGACCACAAATCTCTTAGACCACTGTAGTCCAAGAGATCGGGACTGTTAATTATGATTTGTTAAAATGCCTAAAATAGCTAGAATACATCCATTTCTTTAAATAAATAAATAAAAACCTTAATTTGAGAAATTAAAAAATCTTCCAATCTGCAAGTTGTTGTAGTCATCGAGAAAAGCCCAAAGTTATTGCAAGTTGCTAATCTAAAATTTGTAGTTAGTCATCAAGAAAAGCCCAAATTGATCAGGAAAATACCTAATTGATTTTAGTTTAATTTTCTTCAATGTTGGGGTTACAATAACCATATTCAATTGACACACATTAAAGTAGAAGAAGAACCCAAAAGAAAAAAGAAAGAAAGAAATACCAAAATACAAAGACGAAGAGGAAGAATTGAGAGAGACATGGGTAGGCGTTTTGAAAGAAAATTATAAATATATCAAATGGATTATGTGCATACTCTCAAGCATTGAATCATTTGGATGGACTAGATTTTATGAAATGTGAATAAATGCACAATCTCTAAATGCAGAGGCTCGGAATCTCCTCTAGAAAATATTAAGTAACTAGCTAATGACTTCTTTCTTCAATTAGGTGCTCTAATTCTTTTTGGCTCCTTTTGGTTCATGGGAAATGAGGCTTAAGGATGGGAGTAGGGGTTTTTTTTTCGTTCTGGCAGCTACAGATGGGCCTGCTCTACTGTAAGGAGCAAATGGATGGAATTGCCCCTGTGTATGAGTTCAAGAATCAGGCTCCAAGAGTGCTTCAAAAGGTTTGTGGAGCCTTAGGAAACACATTGGCTTCCTTCACCAACAAAATGAACAGTTGCTTACAAATAAATATTATGGCTTGGCATGAGAAGCTTGTGGCATGAGAGTTGAGCATTCATGAGTTTAGCATGAGACAGAGAGAGAAGGCTTGGGTTTTCTATGAGAGAAATAGAGGTTCAGAGTAAGGGGAAGAGAGAGTTTTGGGGAGAATTTGTTGAGGGGAGAGAGGAAGAGATGAGGGAAGAGGAATAAGTGGCTTGAGCAAGTTTCCGGCAGCTTCACGAAAGTTTCGTCAAGCTCTTGAGTGGCTTGACAGAAGAGAAAAAGGGAAACAATGGAAGAACATGGCTTGAAATAGAAGGGTTCCAAAGGAGAGAGGTGATGCTTGCTCTCTCTGGATGTGTATATGGGAAAGAGAGGAAGAAGATGGAAGCATGGGTGGCTTTAGCAGATTTCCAGCAGCTTGACAAAAGCTTCGTCAGGCTCTTGGGTCGCTTGACAGAAGAGAAAAATAGAAGCAATGGAAGAACATGGCTTGAAATTGAAGAGTTTCAAAGGTGAGAGGTGATACTTGCTCTCTCTGGATGTGTTTATGGGAAAGAGAGGAAGAAGATGGAAGAACATAGCATGAAATTGGGCTTCCCAGCAAAGAGTAAGGATGTTGCTTGCTCTGGATCGGTTCGTTTGCTAGGTAGAAGGTGCCTACTTTTATAGGCGCTAGAACACTCAATTTTATCAAGCCACCCTCTCCTATTTTCCTTCACTTTCTTCAATTCCATCTTATTTGGTGAAACTTTCCCAGCCTGAGCATATAGGCACGAAGCTTTTTGGAGTTCCAAGACCTTCACGCAACTGGACTTCTCCATGTGCTCCATGTGGGTCAAGCGCCACTCACTTTTCCTATTGTTTTCTCACCAAAGCTTGTATAGGAAAGAATGGGTAAAGGTGCTGGTCAAAGGGTGATTTACTTCCAGCAACCTGTGCATATGGGTTTGCCTTGGTTTTGACAAGGTGCTGGATATTTTGACTGATGTGGGATATTTCCAAGTGTTGTGGGCTATGACTATTGGATATTTTCTAAGATGTTTGGGCATTTTATTGAGGTCATAGGCTATTGGGTTATCTCTCTCATGCTTACCCATATGTTTGGACTCAAGGAATGGGCTTGAGTTTTGATGCTCCCAAGCAGCCCAAAACTTCTACTCTTTGGACCATCCATACCACAACCCGCTTAGCAAGACCCAGGCATTCGCGTGGCTTGTGCCCACTTAAGCTTGTAGCGTAACGTGTTGTTTATTTGCTTGGTGTGACACGTGTGCAAGTGCATATGACTAACTCTTGTGTGCCCAAGTCGAGTTTCTTCCCAAGTTAAGTGTCGTACTGGGCTAGAAATATATTTTTGGGCCAAACCTTGGATTTTTTGGGCCTCAACAATGGGAAATAAATTGTTTTTCCATGTTTGGTAAGTCCAAACATGGAAAACGGTTGCCTTAGAGTACTTTCACCCATTTGCCATGACAAAGGGTAAAGGGAGGCAATGGTTGTTACTATTCATGTGAATAGTGCTAGCCCTTGCAAAAGGCTTGTTGTGTTTCCATCCATTGTCATGCCAAAGGAAAAATTCTATTCACTTTTATTTATTTATTTATTTATTTTACTTAAACAATTAATTTGGATAAGATTTTCAGTTGTCACATGTCAATATTTATTATAAAATTCACATATCATATTTCGGATAAGATTTTTGGTTAACACATGTCCATATTTATCATAAAATTCACATATCAAATTTCAGATAAGATTCTCGGTTGCCACATGTCGATATTTATTATAAAATACAAATCTCATATTTTAGATAAAATTTTCACCCTCTTAAAATTGCGCTACATGTTATCTCTATCTTCTAAATCCCTGTATAAAACTAGAGCCTCAATTCAGACATCTCACACCATATCCTCTCTGTCATTTGATTTCTCAGATTTTAGAAAACACATTCCACTCTCAATGGTGCTTGGAGAGGCAATAACAAGAAATTGAAAAAAGAAGGCACAAATGAGCTGAAGAAGAAAGGGATGAGGAAGAAGATGATGATTAAGTTGCTATGGCAGTGGGTATGCTCCATTTATCAAGCCAAGTCTGCCACCGTGGTTCACAAGTTAACCATGGCCCGAACGTAGACAGACGTAGGCATTCTCAGGGTAATAATTTTTTGGAAGATTATTTTATCCCAAATTTGGGGAATCTAAAGGCGAATCCGATGTCGTTGAATCGTGGAGCGGTGTCTCATTCACACAACGGTCGAACCCGTGGGAATAATTTTGAATTTCAAATAATTTTTCACCACCTCCCAACATTGATGATTGTTGAAAGATTTTTTGCCTTGGCCAATGGCAATGAACCACATTTGTGCTTGCGTAATCTATAATAGAAAAAAAAAATGCAAGAATTTTTATTTATTTTAAAAGGACATTAAATTTAATAAAACGGCAATTACAAATAATTTACCTCTCGTTGGCAAGATTTTCGCCGCTTCGAACATTGTCCCTCGCTTTTACCAACGCATCTCTCCATTTCCTTAACTCTTTATTCAAAATTTTCCACTACTACCCAAAGCCATTTTTGTACGAGCCGAACTTGATATTTCACAAAATTTGGCATGAATTTTTCTCCACGTATAAGGCTTTTCCACAACATATTCGAAACCAAAAGCATTTTTTGCTACTATAGCTAGCATCAATGGAAATGGCAATGGCATCTTCAAAATTTCATTTTTGTTGCTTCATAATCACTACCCTCATCCTCTTCATCCTCTTTCCTCTCCTCTCCAATGCATCATCGTCAAGAAACTGCAATACAGAAACATCATTTGAGTTTCTTGCCCATCTTAAGGGGTTTCAAAAGGGTGACAAAGTTGAAGGCATCCAAAACCTCAAAACCTACCTTCAAAATTTTGGTTACTTGAATGGCCAGTCAAACAATGATGCTAATTTTGACGATGAATTGGAGACGAGCCATCAAAACTTACCAAATCACTTACAACATAGCACGCAACACCAGCTTCACCACTACGCCAGAGGACTCACAGTTTCTCAATATTTTTACTTCCCAAGAAACCCAAAATGGCCAACGTCTAAGACTCTAAGTATCGCCTTACCTATGCTTTTCTTCAAGGCTACCCAGTTGAGGCCATGGAGCCAGTTAGATGTGCATTTAAAACATGGGCCAACAGCACAATGTTAAGGTTCACTCAGGTCAAAAGCTATCCGAGGATAAATCTGACGAGGCGTAATCATGGAGATGGCTATCCGTTTGACTGCCCAGGCGGGACCCTAGCCCATGCATTTGCGCCAAGAGATGTGTTATTCTCTGGTCTCATCCTTCTCTCTTCACAATAACTCTCCTACTCATCATCCTTATTTCTCTCCTCTCTCCCATCCCATGCAACGTCGTCACAAATTAACCCACAACAACAACAAAAACATCATCACCCACACCCACCATTCCTCCAATGATGATGCTTTTGACAACTTCTTAGAGTTAGAGTCAGCCATCAAAACCTACCAGCTCAATTACCAGCCAGTACTGGAACTTTAGACGCCAAAACCGTATAAAAAATTATGCTCATGAGGTGTTGGCTTTGCATGAAATTGGACACTTGCGCATATAGCTCTGTCGAAGGAGCTGTCATGTTCCCTTCTTCCGTTCCATCCGCATTGGATACACCTAGAATTTGCATGCGGATAACTTGTTGCAACACTTGTCTTGATGATCGAGAAGAATGCTCAAATATGGGTCTTCTCTAGATACTTTTGGTTGTGGGTTGAAGAAGAAAACCTGGCATTGCCTAAAACTAATGTGGACATAAAGCCCAACATTTCTTTTATGCGACCTCCTCTCTATATATACTACTAGCCCCTTGGCACACGCTCACGCATGTGCCAATTGGTTTTTATTTTTATTCTTTATTTTATATATTTTATTTTTAGAATTAAAAAAAGATAATATGGGTAGTTATACTCCATAAAAGTAAGACTTATTATCTGATTTTGTTTTTTATTTTTATTTTTTAAATATGAAAAATGTGAATTTACCATATTATTCTCATTTAATTAAAAATTTTAATTCTTAATGTTTAAATTAACCAAAGGCATTTTCTGGTATTTTAAATGTTTCACCATTCTCTGCATTTTGCTTTATATATATAGATATAATAATAATAATAAAATAGTTGGTAAAAGGAATATATATGTAAGTCTTTTGTTTTTTGTTTTTGTTTTTTTAGGATCTTACACGTATGCTAGGACTCGAACTTAGGGCTTTTCCTGAGAGGAGCAGTTGCTCCAAACCACTACACTAGTGGGTCATTTGCCTAATTTTTTGTTTTTTAGTTTAATATGGAAAATGTAAATTTTATTATCAAATAGCATCATAAAGTTTTTTCTAATATTATAAAAAGCATTCCTCTAGCTAGCCAGCATATATGTGATTGATAGTAATTTCATAAAGTTTTTTGGTCAAAAGTATTTTCAAATACTCATATGATACATCAAATTAGGTTTTAAAGAAAGAAAACATAAAAGGTGATGTTTTGATGATTAGAGGAGTTGAACTGCATTTTGACCTCTTTTTGTACACACAAGTATATATATCAATTCAGTGAAATAGTAGGCCATTTTGATTGACGTAAAGTCGCAAAGAAAGCACAATAATCGAAATAAATAAGCTTTGATTGGATTGACGAAAAGAACAACATAAGAACCATGCATACATACTAATAATATGATGATGAGGTGATCATGAAAGAGAAAGGCACTAATTCTATTTTTAATTTCAGCACTTCACGTAACTTATATCTTAGGCATAAGTTTCCATTCAAGACAATAAATAATTAGCATTTCCGAAAAAAGAAAACCAAAGTTGAGTTAAATGTGGGTTAGGTTAGTTGGTGAAAGTAGTGTGTCTATTCTTTTACGCTCAAGTTTAATTTCTCATCATGTATATCAGAGTATAACTTAGAATATTACTTTGTGAAGAAAAGCCGATCACACTTCACCTAATGAATAAAAATGTATGAAAGTCATTCAAAATATCAAACAGATTTGTACAAAATACATGTACTACTTTTGATGGATGGATAAGTATCATAAGATGGAATGTATATAGATTGTGTTGTGAATCGGAGGAATATCCAAGCAAGTGTGCGCACTCATGTCCCGATGTTGCTTTGCATACGTGTGTCAACTCAACTACACTGTCCCCTCTTGGAATCATATATATATATTCTCAAATTAGAGAATAAAGGGTATTTTCCACGTGCACTTGACTCTTACTAAAGAATTCTGGGTGTGATCAGTGGCGGAGATAGAAGCTAATCTGTGGGGGTGGGGCCGGTACTATAAATTCAAGATTATATAGAGTTATATTTCAACTAATATTGTAGTTGATGCTTGAGAAATAATGGGATTTTTATGGAGTTTGGGGGGCCATGGCCACGCATGTGGTTCTACCCTTGGGTGTGATGAAGTTGTACCACCATATATTCCTACTAGTTCACATATTATGTAATTAAAGCACACGTGTTATAACAGAAGTAGACGTAAACGTGAACGCATCTGACCATGGCACACAACAATTCTTGCTAGCAAGGCCCTGGTGGTGTGGCGACGGTTTGTTTAAATTGTCTTAAAACATCTTCCACTATACAAATCACTAGCTAGTGGCGGTATCCATAAAGATGTTAAGTGGTATCCATCGTAGCAAGCCACCCAAATGAAAAGCTATAAACAACTCCTCCAGCACCGACGAAGCTCCATATACTCACTGCCAATGATGGCCATCTGTCCATTCCGAGACCATTTATTCATCAGCTGGGCTTATCTAATTTTGATTTTGATTTTTTCTTAGTTTCTTCATACGTAGCAGCCATCCTCGTCAGCTAGCACTGGAAAAACTCTGGTTCTCTCTATCTGTATTTTTATAAGAACATGAACATGTGAACTGTGTGTCTGCGTATGTCTGTTGTGTGTCCATGTGTGTCATATGCATGCTTTTCCCTTCAACCGTAACGCATGCTCATCAATCTGTCTCTTTGTACAAGTAATCTCTAAACGTAACGCATACAAACCGCACTCAAACTTTTTCTTTGCTTTTTCTTGCATTACTTGCGGATTTGGACAGAAAAAAGATATCAAACAACTCGTAACAGACTGATCAGAGAACCGACTGGTTTGCCAAAAGAAATGAAAGGAAAATGAAAACCATACATTAAAAATGGCAAAAGTTGCATGATCATTAATGGAGCTTGGCCCGGTCAAAAGTGGTGGTTTGGTGCGTAGGATAAAGATGCTACTTTCTTATCATGGGGTCTTATCTTTGTGGAATGGTGCTTATCAATATCTTTGATGGAATCTGAATTACATGGAAATAATTATGTGTATACAACTCGATAATTCAAATTCACAGTCTAATTATATAAACAGACTCGATAATTCAAATTCACAGTCTAACAACATAAACAAACATTTCATAATTGATTAACTTCCGAAATCTTGATTTATTTCATTTTTCATTCCTGTACTCACAACAAGTACTTGTTTGCAATTGCATGAGAAAGTCTATTTGATAATTGACCTAGCTAGGGAATCTTTGTTGTCACAGTTGAGAACAAGCAGGGCCATCCTACGTGTCAAAGGCTAGCTCCACGTGTACCGTTAAGTGGCTACATGCATCTAAATGATATATCGATCAAACCGTGAATAAAATCAGAGTGACGCATGGGGTTTAATTTGCTGCATCAGACATTATTTTCTCGGTCACGTCGCCATGATGACACCATGCCAAAACTGAAAAATATATATATATTTTGGGACGAAGCCAAAACTGAAAAATAAGTAAAGTGGTGTTTAGCTTTTTCTCATTTTTATAAATAGTGCAAGCATTAATATTTGCTAGGAGAGAGAGCCTAGTGATTTGCCGAGTGTACCATTATTAATACAAAGCCTTTTGATGTTGTGTTTGTAAAAAGGAACGAAACAGAGAACCAATAATGAAGAAGTTTTGGCACGATTGTTTGTTGGTGAGTAGATGAAAACAACAGTTTAGTCTCTCTCTCTCTCTCTCTGCAGCTGATGACAGATTTATAGGAGAGTTTTTTGTGGCGTTCAGGTTTCCTTCTTCTTTGATTCCTCATTAATCCCAAAGCCAAAACCTCCATAATTACCTCTCATGGCTGGATCAGGAGGCAAAACACTTGGCAACTCATGCATTCTCCTCATAGGTAATTATTTATGGGGTTCTCATCATATTATTATGATATTATGATATGCTGCAACTACTTTTTTTAATAGCTTTGATATGGTAATGGAGGGGCCCCATGATGATCATCAGTTTTACCAGGCAGATAGGTTAATTTATCCTGTAATTTAATGGTCCTCCATTGACCAGGGAGCTCAGTTTCTACTTCTTTAGCTTTCAATGATGAAGTTAGAAAGAACTTAATGTCTTTGCCACATTTAATCTAGTACTTTTTTCTGTTTGCTTCTTCATAATAGTGATTGCTGGTATGGAGAGATTTGCATACAAGGGAGTGGCATCCAATCTAGTAACTTATCTAACTGATGTTATGAAAATGAGCAACTCTGCGGCGGCCAAGACGGTTAACAGTTGGTGTGGCTTCACGTCCATGTTGCCTCTCTTGGTTGCACCTTTTGTTGACTCATATTGGGATCGATATCCCACCATTTTGGCCTCTTCTTTCCTCTATGTTGCAGTAAGTCTATATATCTACTCACTTTTCTTCTTTCTTTCTTACTAGTTTTGGTTCTTCCTCTTGTCTCTTCTTTTGGTAAAGAATTTAAAACTTACCAGAAATTATTATGGTTAATTTGTAATTTTCTGGAATTTGTCTGATCAAGATGCTTCGGATGATGGATTAAGATGGATGGAGCCTGAGTCATCGTCACCAAATCTTATTTTCATTAGAATATTTGGGCTGTCTGGTCAAGATAATTGAAGATATAGTTTGATTTTAGTGTGTGCTTGCTTCGTCATGTCACACTTTTATAATTTATGAGTCTGTATGGCTTTGTTTTTAGGGGCTTGTGGCCTTGACATCAACAGCATTGACCAGGGCATCTTCTGCTGCAAACAAAACAAGTTCTAATTCCTCATTTCTGTTTTGGTCTCTGTATTTAATTTCTCTTGGTCAAGGTGGATATAACCCGTCTCTGCAAGCATTTGGAGCAGATCAACTGGACAGCGAAGAGGAACTGCCTAGCAGCAAAGATGAGCAAAAGTCCAACAAAAAGAGCGTGTTCTTTCAATGGTGGTATTTTGGTGTTTGCAGTGGCAGCCTCCTGGGTATCACTCTCATGTCCTACATTCAAGACACTTTTGGTTGGATTCTGGGTTTTGCAATCCCCATGATATCGATGGTTACGTCTGTCGTGGTGTTCTCTTGTGGAAGCCGAATCTATACTTACAGAGAGAGCGAGGCCATGGACTATAAGCCTATTGGCAACATGGTTCAAAGCATCAAGGCAACTGCATTAAAACTAATGAATCGCAGAATCACATTACCAAATAAAAGTGATGTTACTGAGCTAGAGTAAGTCTAGTTTCTAACTCTTGAACTCTGTTTTACAAAAAATGTGCATGAATTCTGATGCTATATGTATCTGTTTTTGCTGGTTAATTATATATAGGCTTCAAGAGAAACCGCTTTGTCATCAAAATTTCAGCACCAATGAGGGGTTGGTTGAGAATCCCAAAAGCGGCTTCTATGTGCTTGAAAATGCTAAAGTGCTGCTGAGGCTTCTGCCCATCTGGATAATGCTTTTGATGTTTGCAGTGATTTTCCAACAGCCTCCCACATTCTTTACCAAACAAGGCATGACCATGAAGAGAAACATTGGAAGCCAATTCAAGATCCCACCAGCAACTCTACAGAGTGTCATCACTCTTTCCATAATCCTCTTGATGCCTCTCTACGACAAAATTATGATCCCGATTACGCGACTGGTTACTTGTCACGAAAAGGGTATCACAGTGATGCAGAGGATGGGGATTGGGATGTTCATTTCAGTCATAGCAATGGCCAGTGCAGCAGTTGTGGAAACAAGAAGGCTCCGCATCAGCAGAGAAATGGAAGCTCTGGGAGCTCATTCTGAGACGGTCCCGTTTAGCATCTTTTGGCTGCTGCCTCAGTACATTCTTTTGGGAATTTCAGACATCTTCACTGTTGTTGGAATGCAAGAGTTTTTTTACTCAGAAGTTCCCGTAAGAATGAGAACCATGGCCTTTGCGCTGTACACTAGTGTTTTCGGGGTGGGAAGCTACTTGAGCAGCCTTTTGATTGCGACCGTTGAGGCGGTTACAAGTTCGAACGGAAGGCAGAGCTGGTTCTCTGATGACATGAGTGAAGCTCGGCTAGACAAATACTACTGGTTTTTGGCCTCATTGAGTGTTTTGAGCTTTCTCCTTTATGTACTTTTGTCTGCGTGTTACAGAAGCAGGAGGGATTTGGATTTGGACAATGAAAACTGTAAATAAGCTCTATGTTTCGAGCTTGATCAAGCTCAGAAGAAAAACTCTGGTTAATTGGTTCAGTTTATGTGTGAATGATATGTTTTTTTCAATGATTCTTACTCTAATCTGAATGCAGTCGAGGCATAACATAATCAAATTTTTATTTGAATGAAATTTCAGACAACAAATCACTAAAAATCTTCAAAATATGAGCTTCAAACATACAGCTCTTGAAAATCTTAGTACACTCTTGGGTGAGGTACCTTTATTTGATCAAAATAAAAAGGGAAAAATGAGAAGTTCATGGCTTTTAAAATTCTTGATGATCAAGAAGAGACGATCATCAAGTGTTGTATAAAGCTTGAATTCCTTGAATATCATCCCCATGCAAGCTCTGCTGGGTCACTCCAGAGCGGACAGAGGGGAACATAATAGCTTCTTGAACAGAGCTATGCCCCAGCCCAAGAAGGTGCCCTATTTCATGCAAAGCTATAGTCTCAAAGTCATAAGCACCACTCACGGCGCCCACGGAAAACCGCTCATCAGCGTCGTAATGAAGTCTCCCATTTGTCGGCGCAAATGCATGGGCTATGGTCCCACCTGGCCCATCAAATGGGGTCCCATCTCCATGATCGCCCCTGTTAAAACTGACCGTCAGATCTGGGTTCTGGTTGTTCTGTGCCTCACTGAAAGTGAAGTGTGTGTTGGCGGCCCATGTTTGAAAAGCACTGGAAACTGGGCCCATGGCCTCAGCTGGGGTGCCTTGAAGAAAAGCATAGGTGAGGTGATACTTAGAGGCCGGCCATGTTGGGTTTTCTTGGAAGAAAGAATAATTAGCAACTGTGTGTCCTCTGTGGTGATGGTGAGGGTGCCTTTTTTTGCCTGATCGCATGGAGGAGGTACCATTGATGATATCTGCAACACCACAACGTGGCATCATCATGTTGGATATGGTTTTCGCATCCAATGTACCGGTGGCTTTGAGGTGGTAATTAATTTGGTAAGTTTTGATGGCAGACTCCAATTGGTCGTCAAAATCATCATCATTGAGGTGACCATTGTTGCTGCTCAAGTAACCAAATTTTCCAAGGTATTTTTTGAGGTCTTGGATGCCTTGGACCTTGTCACCTTTGTGGCACCCCTTGAGATGCTCAAGGAACTCGAATGGAGACGAGGTAATCTTGTTGTTGTGGGTTTCTGATGAAGTTGCATGGGAGAGGAGAGAAAGGAGGACGAAGAGAAGAGTGCATGTGAAGAGAGAAATGTGAGACAACTTTGATGCCATTGACGATGCTGCAATAGCAAGGAAGGAAGAAAGTATATTAATTGGATTTGTTGCAAAGAAAAGCTTCATATTTGGAGGGATATTTATAGGTGTATAATGAGCATATATAGATTAACGGTGGGGATACGTTGATATATAAAAATTTCCAAATTATTGGCTTTGAGCCGGATTAGTAATATCATGACTTTGACCATAGGTAAGCTAAAGTCTTGAGGTTAGAGACTAAGGGGGATGTATTCAATTGAGATTTTAGAAGACTGTCTAGGGATTAAAAAAGTCTATTGGATTTCTTCACTCAAAAAAATGTCCACTGGATTTAAGCAAAATGTAATGATTTATAGGATTTTATTTATGAATTTCTATAATCAAGAGACTTTTGGATTTTAAAGATTTATATCATAGGATTTGGAGCGAAGCCAATATAGGTGCTTACAACTCTTATATCCCGGACATAAATTCACTTACAATTAAACCTCTAACTAAAATCCAAATTTAAAATATATTGCCATGTAAGATAGATATGTCCAAGCATTATTAACTAAATTACACTATATACCATTTACCTTTATATTTTGTAATTATAATTTATTTTGAAGCATGTCATTAACTCCTTGATTTATATTCAACATAGCAATATTCATCAAATCCCTAAAATTTCGAACAAAAACAAATTCATAAATTATTTTATAATAGATTAATCCTACAAATTTTCCACTTAGTTAATAAAGTTAACTTAAAGGAACGTGATTTATATTTTTTAAAAATAGGTAGATTATTCACACAAAAATTGGTATGTAGATTATAGGTAGATTATTCACACAAAACGGTCGATTATTCACAAAAAAAGAAAAAAGTAAAAAAAAGGTATTTATTTATGTAAAAACATAGGTAGATTATTCATAAAAAAAGTAGGTACAGTATCTCGTTAATTGGTTCAGTTTATGTGTGAATGATATGTTTTTTTTTCAATGATTCTTACTCTAATCTGAATGCAGTCGAGGCATAACATAATCAAATTTTTATTTCAATGAAATTTCAGACAACAAATTCACTTAAAAACTTCAAAATAGAGCTTCAAACATACAGCTCTTGAAAATCTTAGTACACTCTGAGGTGAGGTACCTTTATTTGATCAAAATAAAAAGGGAAAAGTGATAAGTTCATGGCTTTTAAGATTCTTGATGATCATCAAGTGTTGTATAAAGCTTTAATTCCTTGAATATCATCCCCATGCAAGCTCTGCTCGGTCACTCCAGTGCCGATAGAGGGGAACATAATAGCTCCTTGAACAGAACTATGCCCCAGCCCGAGAAGGTGCCCTATTTCATGCAGAGCCACACTCTGCAAGTCAAAAGCACCGCTCACGGCACCCACAGCCCACGCCTCAGCAGCATCGTAGTGAAATATCCCATTTGGGGGAGCAAATGCATGGGCTATGGTCCCACCTGGCCCATCAAATGGGGCCCCATCTCCATGATTGCCCCTGTGAAAACTGACCGTCAGATCTGGGTTCTGATTGCTCTGGACCTCACTGAAGGTGAAGTGTGTATTGGCGGCCCATGTTTGAAAAGCACTGGAGACTGGGCCCATGGCCTCAGCTGGGGTGCCTTGAAGAAAAGCATAGGTGAGGTGATACTTAGAGGCCGGCCATTTTGGGTTTCCTTGGAAGAAAGAATAATGAGCAACTGTGTGTCCTCCGTGGTGATGGTGAGGGTGCCTTTTTTTGCCTGATCGCATGGAGGAGGTACCATTGATGATATCTGCAACACCACAGCGTGGCATCATCATGTTGGATACGGTTTTCGCATCCAATGTTCCGGTGGCTTTGAGGTGGTAATTGATTTGGTAAGTTTTGATGGCAGACTCCAATTGGTCGTCAAAATCATCGTCATTGAAGTGGCCATTATGTTGCTGCTCAAGTAACCAAATTTTCCGAGGTATTTTTTCAGGTCTTTGATGCCTTGGACCTTGTCACCCTTGTGGCACCCCTTAAGATGCTCAAGGAACTCGAATGGCGACGAGGTAATGTTTTTGTTGTGGGTTTCTGATGAAGTTGCATGGGAGAGGAGAGAAAGGAGGATGAAGAGAAGAGTGCATGTGAAGAGAGAGATGTGAGACAACTTTGATGCCATTGATGATGCTGCAATAGCTTGGAAGGAAGAGAGTATATTAATTGGATATGTTGCAATGAAAGGCTTCATATTTGGAGGGATATTTATAGGTGTATAATGAGCATATATAGATTAACGGTGGGGATACGTTGATATATAAAATTTTCAAAATTATTGGTTTTGACTTTGACCATAGCTAAGCTAAGTCTTGAGGTTGGAGACTAATTATTTCTTGGTTCGGACCATATTTTAAGTATCATTCAAACGGGGACCGTAAAACGAGTCTTGCACTTCACAGACTTGAAGAAAATTATCACGAAGCGATGCTTCCAGAGCAAAACTGAATTTTCATAAATAAATATAAAAAATATATCGTCTTCCCTGCCTAGCACAACTATTCGCTCTATTATTCCTTCTCTGCTCTTTGGGACAGGAAGGGCATTTTAAGACAAAGGAAGAAGCAAATTATTAGTCCTAAATTTTTGATATGTTCACTTGTTTGGATTATTTTCAAAATTAGGAATCGGGGAAGTGAATAACATACATAGGAGCGAACAAATGGCTATGAGATCAACCACTTTATTATTGTAGTTTTTCAACTATTTAATTACGGATTGTAATGTGGAACCAACTTATTTTTTGATTTTGTAGGTCTTAATAAACATAGGAAAGTCAGAAATAATCAAAATAATTTTAATACACATTTGTTGGTTTGTTGTATTATAAGTCTATATTGGCTGACAATACTTCAAAGAAATTGAATTTGAGTTTGATGTTCACATTCTAACATGGTATCATTGCCATATTATCCACGTTATCAAGTTTGATGCTCAAAAAGATGTGCCACATATGAGGGGGGCGTGTTGAGAGTATCTCACATTAGAGAATGAAAGCTTTTCATCAATGCTTAAATAAGATATTGAACTCCACCTAATACCAAATAATTTTGATTTGGATGCTTGCATTATAACAACTAAGATTAGTTTATTTTTTCCTTCTTAAACCTTTGATAATGCAATATAACTAAAACAGTACAAACTCAAATAATTTGGGCACACTGGCTAAAGATTACCAAAGTGGAAATCGAAGGTGATTCGAGGACTCTTATACAAATTATTATGATAAGAGCACAACTTCCTTGGAGATTAACATCTGTCACTACTATTCCTCATATATACCAACGATCTAGAGTGCAGTTTGATTTGTATGGTTTTAGTCTATTTCTGTTTTCAACAAAAAAGAAAAGGAAAAGGGAAACTCAAATCCCTATTATAAATTATATCATCCAAATGTACCACTGAAAAATGAATTGAGATTGATATGAATATCGAGTTGACCCCTAGAGCTAGAGAGAGTGTGGGCATACGGTTTATAAGCCTATCGCCACTGGATTAAACTTAATGCTATGTTGTGTGATTGGAATCGAGACTTAATTAAATTTGTGTTCCAAATAAAATTCAAAGAAGAAACCATTCGAAGTTGAAACAATTCAGAAATCCATTATTACAAAATGTTCAAACAATTAATTTCCAGCATATATATATATATATATTTATATACTGGTACAACTTTGAGCTGTGTTTATTGTTTTCAATATCTTAGTACACCCAAGGTGAGGTACTTTATTCGATTTTTGAAAAAAAGAAAGAAAAAAAAAGAAGAAAAGTTGATGGCTTTGGATGAACATAGTAATTACTTAAGAGAGACAACCGATGATTATCAAGCGTGGTATAATGCTTTAATTCCTTGAATATCATCCCTGTTCAAGCCTTTGGTTTCTCCAGAGCTTATAGTCGGGTACATAATAGCTCTCCGAACAGAGCTATGGCCAAGCCCTAGGAGGTGACCAATTTCATGCAAAGCCACAGTCTCCAAGTGAAAAGCACCCCTCACAACGCCCACAGACCACTTCTCATCAGCGTCATAGTGAAATCTCCCATCTTTCGGCGCGAAAGAATGCGCTAGGATCCCTCCTGGGCCATCAAATGGATGACCATCTCCATGGCTACGCCGGTGAAAACTCACCGTCAGATCCGGCTTCTGATTCCTTCGAGCCTGGCTGAACTTGAACTGTGTGTGGGCAGCCCACGTATTAAACGCACGTGCAACTGGGCCCTTGGCCGCCGTCGGGGTGCCCCGAAGAAAAGCGTAGGTGAGGTGGTACTTAGAGGCTGGCCATTTTGGCTTTCCAGGGAAGAAAGCATAATGAGCAACTGTGTGTCCCTTGTGATGGTGGTTAGGAGGAGGGTGACTTTGCTTGCCTGATCGCATAGAGGAGGTACCATTGATGATATCTGGGACGCCACAACGTGGCATCATCATATTGGATACTGTTTGAGTGTCTAATATTCCAGTGGTTTTGAGGTTGTAATTGAGTTGGTAGGTTTTGATGGCCGACGCCAATTGATCGTCAAAATCATCAGTGGTTTGGTTATTGTTGCTGCTCAAGTAACCAAACCTTCCGAGGTATTTTTTGAGGTCTTGGATTCCTGGGACCTTGTCACCATTTTGGAACCCCTTAAGATGGTCAAGGAACTCAAATGGCGATGATGTTTTTTTGTTGTGGGTTTCGGATGAAGTTGCATGGGAGGGGAGAGAAAGGAGGATGAAGTGGAGAATGCATGCCAAGAGACAAAGATGAGACTTTGATGCCATTGATGAAGCCTAGGATTGGATATGTTCCAACAGCATCGTATTTGGAGGGATATTTATAGGGAGTTAATTACGCAAAACCTACCCCCGAGTTTTTTTATAATGTTTTTTCAAAATAACTCCTGCACTTTTGGAAACCTTTCACTATGTTTCTGTCAGTTAATTGATCATGCCACACAAAAGACCTTCTCTAAATACCCAGATTACCCTCAATTAGCACTCTTATCTTATATTAGAAACGTCGTGGATATCACTAACAGTCCAACAACAACAACAACAACAACAAAAAAACTCCCAAAACAAATACAACAAAACCTGCATCCTCTGCCATCACTCAAGCCCACTCTGAACAAAAAAGGAAAGATAAAAACATCAGCCCGCCTAATGGAGAAATTATAGAATGATACGGTAGTACCACGTCAGCGTATAGTACTCCCATTCAAATATGGCCATGTGTCCATTTTATAAAAGAAATTAATTATTGTTTCACAGCTGGACTTTTTACTTTATTAATTCTTTAGTTTTGAAATAAAATTAGAAAAAAGAAAACTTAAATGAAGAAAAACCATGGCAACCACCCTTCTCTCTTCCTCTTCCTCCCCTCTCTCTTTCTATTCACCACTACCATCGCCGCTCCTCATGAAAACCATCAACATCCAAACCCAATAATATCATCATCTCTTCCTTAATTCCCCTATATTATTATTTTTCTGAATTCGCTCATGACACTCTACACAATGTTAATTCCACCACCAGCTTCAACCCACTGCCACCTTGGAATGTTTTCAGACCTGGATCTAGACCCTCAACAACGAACCAATTTTTAATTATCAAGACTACTCCATTTCATCATCATCAATACCAATTTAATCCTCCTTCCTCTAAAACCCCGTCTACAATTAGTATGAGGGGTGAAGATAGTGGAAGGAGAGGGGTGGCCGTCATAGCAGGTAGTTGGGATTAGGGTTGTTGGGTTAGGAGATAGTTGGCTGTTAGGAAATTCTTTTTTTTATTTTTTATTTTCTAATTTTATTTCAAAAGTTAAGAATAAACTAAAAAGTCTAGCTGTGAAATGATAATTAATTTCTTTTATAAAATGGACACATGGCCATATTTGAGTGGGAGTACTATACGCTGACGTGGTAGTACCCTTCTCTTCTCCCTTGTTACTCGGCGGATTATTAATTGAAATCAACTATATTAAATAAATAAATAAAAGTCTGAACCTTTTTTATTCCAACCAATGAGAAATTATGGCCAACAAAGTCTGATAATATTTTTTTTTAATGCTTCCAAAAGGAAACAAAGATGGATCACGAGTCTCTACATTTAGAATTTATGCATTTATTCACATTTCGCAAAATCTTGACCATCTTAATAATCTAACCGTTTAAAACAAGACACATAATCAAACCTTAAAAAATTAATAAAAAATTTAATTCAAAATTTTAAAATTTAAAATTAAAATTCACATAATCTAAAAAATAAAAACCAGACATGCAACTTCACCTCCCACCCCTATCCCTGCCGCCCCTACCAACCCCGACACACCCAAGCAAACATACCATCCACCATCTCTCCCCCGACCCCAACAGCACCCAAGCCACTATATATACCATTCACCATCTCTCTTTCTGTATTGCTCGCAACCCCCTCCCATTTTGATAATCTTCTCTGTATCAATTCCTCGCAGCCTCCTCTCAATTACCCCTCACCTTTCGTGAAGAAACCTATAGTCCTCTCCCCTCACCTCGTGGATTTTTCTTTTATGTTTTGTTTAAACAAATAATTGTTAAATTTGAATAATTTTCTGATGAAAAAGAAAATTAAATACTTATATTATTATCATGTCATGTCTTTAAACGATTAGACTATTAGGAGGGTCAAGATTTTGCGCAATGTAGATGAATGTATAAACTCTAAATGTCGAGGCTCGAGATCCAATTAAGATATATGTCTAGTAAAAATAAAAGAAAATAGGGATATTTTTGTCTTTTTAATCATTTCCATTAATTTAGTCGGTGAAACTCAAATGTTAGTTAAAGGACAAGATTTATTTGGGAATTGAGCCATACTTTAGGAGGATAGATAGATTAACGGTGAGGATGTGTTGACATAATTTCCAAATTATTGATTTTGAGCTGGCTTTTGACTTCTTCTTTTTTTGCCAGAATATATCATGACTTTGACTATAACTATTATTTTCATAATGATTTCCAAACTCTTGAAACGAACAGAATTAATCAGAGAGTGATTATTTATTAGCTCGAACTATCGCTAAAGTATAAAACTATATGGTCATTCAAACAGGGATCCGTATAACGTGTTTAGCATTAGCACTAGTTTGTCTTCCTCCTTGAATTATACTACATATTGCTTGATGGGTCAACTAACCTCAAGGGTCCACCCTAATTAATCATCCATCACTTAAATTAAACTACTCTAGTTTTTAATTTAAAATCAAAGAATGAAGAACCATAAAACATGTTGATATGTTTCAAAACATAACTTTGAGTCAAATTATCTATGTGTCATGTCCGACAATCACACGTTAGAGAATAAAAGTTTTGCATTAGTGCTTACTTATAATATCTTGGTTGCACCGTAGTGCCAATTAATTTTGATTTGGATTCTCACATAATAACAAGTAAACGAATTGATAAAATGGAAAGTCCAAAGAGATTACTTAATTAATCAAGATTGAGTTGACCCTACAGAGAGTGAGGGCATGGTTTATAAGACAATCACCACTGCGTTAAAAGTAATTATATGTTCTATGATTGTAATCGAGACATAACGTAATCAAACTTGTAGTCCAAAGAAATTTCAGAGAAGAAATCATTCAAACATTTAACTGATACAACTATTTAGTTGTTTATTGTCTTTGAAAATCTCAGTACACTTGTAAGTGAGGTACTTTATTTGAAAAAAAACAAAAGGGAAAAATGAAAGGTTCCTCCTGATCCTGACTTGGGTGAACCTAAAAATTAAGTGAGGTTTAAGACGAGATGATCAACCGATGATCAAGCGTTGTATAAAGCTTTAATTCCTTGAATATCATCCCCATGCAAACCTTTGGTCACTCCAGGGCTTATAGTCGGGTACATAATAGCTCCCTGAACAGAGCTGTGCCCAAGCCCAAGAAGGTGCCCTATTTCATGCAAAGCCACAGTCTCCAAGTCATAAGCACCACTCACGGCTCCCACAGAATACCGCTCATCAGCGTCGTAGTGAAATCTCCCGTTTGTTGGCGCAAATGCATGGGCTATGGTCCCTCCTGGCCCGTCAAAGGGAGCTCCGTCTCCATGATTACCCCTGTGAAAACTCACTGTCAGATCGGGGTTCTGATTGCTCTGGCTGAAGGTGAAGTGTGTGCTGGCGGCCCATGTTTGAAAAGCACGTGCAACTGGTCCCGTGGCCTCAGCTGGGGTGCCTTGAAGAAAAGCATAGGTGAGGTGATACTTGGAGGCCGGCCATTTTGGGTTTCCTCGGAAGAAAGTATAATGAGCAACTGTGTGTCCTTTGTGGTGATGGTGGTGAGGGTGCCTTTGTTTGCCTGATCGCATGGAGGAGGTACCATTGATGATATCTGCGACACCGCAACGTGGCATCATCATATTGGATACAGTTTCAGCATCCAATGTTCCAGTGGCTTTGAGGTGGTAATTGAGTTGGTATGTTTTGATGGCTGACTCCAATTGGTCGTCAAAATCATCATCGTTGAAGTGGCCATTATTGTTGCTGCTTAAGTAACCAAATTTTCCGAGGTATTTTTTGAGGTCTTGGATGCCTTGAACCTTGTCACCCTTGTGGCATCCCTTGAGATGCTCAAGGAACTCGAATGGTGATGTTGTTTTTCGGCTGTGGGTTTCGGATGAGGTTGCATGGGATGACAGGAGAGAAAGGAGGATGAGGAAGAGGGTGATTGTGAAGAGAGAAAGATGGGATTTTGATGCCATTGATTGATGCTAGTTGTTGTATTACTTAGCTAGGAAAGTATTACTTAGCAGATTTTGAATCTGTGTTGCAATTCAGGCTTCAAATTTGGAGTGTTATTTATAGGTGTGTACATTGAGCATACATAGATTAACGTTGGGGTTACGTTGATATAATAACACTCAAATTTTCGTATTGGTTTTGAAACCGGGTCCTCTTCCATGTATGGTACGCCATGACTTTGACTGTAGCTAGCTTGGTCTTGAGGTTCCAGACGACGGCCGGGAAAGGGAAGAAAAAAAGAGAGTGAGAAGAATAATGGCAAGAACACAAAAATAAAGAGACCACCCAAACGCATAAAACAAAAGAGATTCAACGCATGAAACAATTCCTAAATTAATCTAAGCGTATTCCTGGTCAAAGTCACGTATAGTAAAGTAACTACAAATGCAAACACACATCAAGCTCTTGGTAGCTAAAAATGCAAACACACATCAAACATGCATATCTATAATCTTCCACATAAAACATCAAATATCTTAATAAAGTTCTAAGCCTATCTAGCAATTTTTCCTTCAAAGCAAAATTACAAGCATACAGTAATCACTTTAGTGACGGGATTAAATTATGGGCTATCAACAAAACACCCCTAGATATTTGGTGTCATTCTTAATATGGGCCACTAGATTTCAATTTCATCTATTTACAACCCATGATTTTCAAATTTGACCAATTTAAGTCTTTCGTTAAGTTGGATGTTTGGTCAGATGTTAATTGATGACGTGTCCACTGTGGGACACTAAATTCGTCAAGAGATGCCGGAATTTGGAAGCGAAGTAGAAATTTTGTTGAGACAGATCATAATTTTTTGGGGTTCAAACTTTGTCCAGAAAGAACAAAATTCGTCGGGGAAAAGTCACAATTTGTCGGAAGAACAAAATTCATTGGAAAAGGGCACGCTTTGTCGGCAAAGAAATATTTGGTCTTGGCATATCAAAATTTGTGGGGAAATAACAAAATATTTTGTGAAAGGTCAACGTTTTGTCAAGAAGAACAAAATACGTCGAGAAAGATCAATCTTTGTCGGCAATGAACAAAATTTGTCGGGAAAGCTAGATAACTGCTTGTTTTAAAGATAAAGCTTCTGCCTGTAAAACAGATGCATGACCAAGCAGACTAGAGCTTACAAGGGAAGGTTTCAAAATTAAATTTAAAACTATTTTTATTGGGAGTACTCCATCCATATAGATATATTTTTTTTTTTTTTTTTTTTTTAAAAAGAAATATTATTTTGATGCCAATCTTGTAAAAGCAAAGTTTTGATATGAGAAATAGCTTCACTAATATGAGGTGTTCTATTCTGAAAAAGTAAACGATTTCGTTGCTCCAAATTTTCCAGCAAATAGTACAAAATTTGGCAAAAAATAATGAAAGAGAGACATTATTCCATTTAGAAAGGATCCACTCTATAATATCAACATTATTAGGTTGTGGGGAGACCCCAAAATTTAACAAGATTGGACCAAATCTGATTGGAGTAAGTTTCAAAAAGGACAAAGATTTGAAATATTAGTAAAAATGATCAAGTTTCTCACGAGTCGCGAGTATGTATGAAGACGTTTTTGTGTATATATATATATATATATATATATATATAAGCCAATTGAATAATTTAATTTTAAAGGGTAATTTTAATTTCCAAATTTTAGCTAAATATGAATCTATATTAGTCTTACCATAATTTAATTGTAAACGTAGCAGAGTTAATAGAAAATTTTCCAGAAATAAAATACGTACTTTTTTATTTTTTATGAGCAAAAGTTTAGGGAGAGATTGGCTACTCTCACCATCATCTTCAGGGCAGACCTACAACATCGAGTCAAAAGGACTTACGCGTGGCATCCAACTGCCAGTTATCATCGGTATTGATTTATGTACGAAATTATATATCGAGCAACAACAAGGGCTGCTAGCAACAGAACTTGAACACACAGTGCAACAGAGACCTTACAAACTGAACCAACCCTGGTTGGCAAATAAAATACGTACTTCAATGCTCTTTGGGACAAGAGTTTTTGGGTTCATGACCTCAAATTCCAAAGCAAAAGAAGAAGCAAATTTTAGTCCTAATTTGTTGACCCAAGAGAGTAACAATCCCATGACGATTACACATACAAGACCAGATTTACATCAACTCACTTTTTTTCTCCGTACGAATTGTTCATGACATGTCGAAATTGAAGTGTCTGTAATCAAATTTATAGTGAAGCAAAAAAGTTTCAGACCACGAAATATTTATACTTTAAACTGTCGAAATTCGTAGTACAGGTTTAATGCAATATTGTATTGCAACTTCCGAGTACACTCCAGGTGCAGGTGAGGTACCTTATTTAAATTTGATAATAATAATTATTATTATATAAAGGACGGACGTTGGATGAACATTCTTGATGATTTGATCATCATTTAATGTTGTATAAGTTTTTAATTCCTTGAATATCGTCGGGCTTCAAATTCCGCTTGACCGTTGCAGTGTTGAGAAAGGGGTACATAATAGCCTCTTCAACAAAGCTATGATTAAGCCCAAGAAGGTGCCCTATTTCATGCACAGCAATACTCTGCAAGTCCATGCCACCATTCACAGAACCCACAACCCACATCTCATCAGCGTCGTAGTGAAATCTCCCATCTGTTGGCGAAAAAAGCATGGGCAGTTACCCCACCTCGGCCATCAAACGGATACCCATCTCCATGATCGAGCCTCTGAAAACTGATCGTCAGATCTGGTGTCTCGTATGCTTCGACCTGACTGAACGTAAACTGTGTGTTATTGGCCCATGATTGAAAAGCACGTTTAACTGGATCTTTGGCCTGATTTGGGGTGCCCTGAAGAAAAGCATAGGTCAAGCGATACTTAGAGGAAGGCCATTTTGGGTTTCCTGAGAAGAAAGAATATTGAGAAACTGTGAGCCCCTCGTGGTGCTGTATCTTTCTTGATATCATGGAGGTGATACCATTGATGATATCTGGCACACCACAACGTGGTATCATCATGTGTGACACAGTTTTGACATCCAACCTTCCGGTGGCCTCGAGGTTGTAATTGATTTGGTAAGTTTTGATGGCCAATTCCAATTGGTCGTCAAAATCATCATTCTGGGAATGGCCACTCAAGTAACCAAATTTTTCAAGGTGTTTTTTGACGTCTAGGATGCCTTGGACATTGTCACCCTTGCGACACCCCTTAACCTGGTTAAGATACTTAAATGATGATGCTGCATGGGAGAGGAGAGGGAGGAGAAGAAGGAGGAGCAGGGTAGTGATTGTGAACAGAGAAAGAGTTGAAGCTTTTGATGGTGCCATTGATGCTAGCTAAGCTAGTAGTAAGAAATACTTTTGGTTTCGAATATGTTGTGGAAAAGCCTCATACTTTGGAGGGCTATTTATAGCTCTCTAATGAGAAGACTTACAACTCTTACTTCCACATTGAGATTGAGAGTTGGGCCTTCCATAGTAAATGCATATGCATTACTTTGAGTCTAAACAACTACCCTCTATTAGTGAGGTGCTACGCACTCTCCCAAACCCTAGCCTCCACTATCCCAAAAAACCTCCTAGAGCCATTTTATTTTGAAGAGGAACTCCCATCTTCCCTCTTCTCTTTCTCCATCTCTTCTCCTCTCATTTTCATAGACAAAAGATTTTCCCTATTTGTCTTCGTTTTGTTATGATTTTCCTCCAATCATCATAGGCGGTTGCATCTTGGCGTTGAATCTCCACCTACATTTCGATGGCAGATCTCCACCACCATCCTTTTGCGATTTCATTATGTTCGGAATAAGTCATAGAAACTCTTTAAGTTCTATGTGTAGTTTTCAGCTCTCATTTTATGAGAGCTTTTCACATATCATTTGTGAAAGCTTTTCACCTCACATTTGTGAGAGCTTTATTTGTATTGTTATGACTTTATTTTTTCAAGTTTTATATCTTTTTGATTATTTTGAGTTTCAATCTTAATTAAAATGCCTATGCCAGAGTTTCTTCAATCATGCGTGATCGTTAGTGGAAGCACACCAGATTGTCTTAATTTTGATTTTAGATCGCTCCGTTATTGTAATAACCCTTTGTGGCTAGTTTGTATTAGCTCTTTGTGGCTAGTAGCTTTTTTGGCTGAATTAATGCAATCCAGAATTTCTCTATAATTCCCAACAAAAAAAAAAAAAAAAAAAAAAAAAAAAAAAGGTGATGATACACACACAACACAGTCGTATATAAATGTGGAATACTTGTGTTTATTATCCTATATAGAATGCTTGTGGTTATTATCTTTTATGATTTATGCTGAAATTTATTTTATCAAATTTATATTTATACTTTCTTTAAGGGAAATTTGTATAAATAGCACCTAAACTTTTAGGCATGTGCGCTATGAACTTACAATTTTTACTTTTAACCACCTAAACTATGTAATGTATTGTTATCCACCACCTATACGTCTAACTTCGTTAAAATTTATGTGAAGTGTAAGGGTATTTCCGTCAATTCACCATAGCGAATAATCATCCTTCTTGGAATCCAACCCGAATGCATCAAAAGAGCATATCTACGAGCAATTTCAAATAATGCTGCAGTTCGACTATTGGGATCAACAACCCCATACGTCCATGCATCTCTATGGTTGCCAAGCATGAGAAATTAATAAAATATATACTGCCCAAAAACATTACAACCGTTAGGCTATTCTGATCCACACCCCAAAAAAATGCAGGCAAGAGTCAAGCAATCCTCGCGTTGCCAAACCGAGAGAATGTTATTGATCACAACTAGTATAAGTCATGATTGTAAAGGTTTTTTTACTGCAATTCACAAATACCAAAACATAAATAAAAGATCACACATTCTATTCAAGGCTCTCTCTTTCTCCCCTCCATCCAGCAATGTGGAATGCTTAGGGTGGATGACAATTGGCGTTGGTAAGGGGTAGGGGAAGTCTGATATAATTAGGTTAACTTTTTTTTAATAATTATTTTTAGTTATAATTAATTGACAAAAATACCTTTAAATTTAATGGAGTTGGACATAGGTGGTATATTGCAACACTTTACAAAGTTCAGATGATTAAAAATAAAAATTAATATTGATGCACATGCCTAAAAGTTTAGGTGGCATTTATGCAAATTTTCCTTTCTTAAATATATATATATATATATATATATGTATAAGCGATAGTCTAAACTACAAGGGGAAATAGTTTATCACACACACACTACCAAAATGTCATGGGGGGTTTGAACTCTATATTTATACTTTTTAATGGTAAAAGTTTTGCTTATAGACAAATAAATAAATTATTAATAATTTTCTATTTCACTAATTTATATGTCTACAAAATTTGATTGACCACAAATGATGGGTTAGGATTATGATTGATCAAAGTTAGAATTATGACCCAGTTTACAACTTGTGGTCCTTGCCAATGCACAAAGTGAAAAACATGGTCCATTTTGTTAGATACAAGCCTAACATTATCATTTTTGGTTTAAGTTTATCACAAAATGGTCATACCCCGTTTCATTTCGTTGTAATTCTTAAACATTGCGTAGTAAAGTTTGTCTTATCATCTAATGGATTTCAATGGTCCATCTCCTTGTAACTTGTAAACCCCTCTCTATTTCGGAATAAAATGGACCAATTTAGTGGAAATGTACTAGTAAATGGACCATGTTTACAACTCTACAATCTCTTAGAGGGTCCTTCAATTAAAATTTCGTAACATCAAAATTAATATTCACTAGCCCCTTGGCACATGCTCATGCATGTGCCAATTGGTTTTTATTTTTATTTTTATTTAGAATTAAAAAAAGATAACATGGGTAGTTATGTTCTATAAAAGTATGACCTATTATCTAATTTTGTTTTTAATTTTAATTTTTTCAATATGAAAAAATATGAATTTACCATATTATCCTCATTTAATTAATAATTTCAATTCTTAATGTTTGAATTAACTAAGGGCATTTTCTGGTATTTTGAATGTTTCACCATTCTCTGCCTTTTGCTTTATATATATATATATATATATATATATAGATAAATTGAGATTTTGACGTTGCATGGGAGAGGAGAGTGATTGTGAATTGAGAAAGAATAGATTTTGATGCGATTATGCTATACTATATATCTAGCAAGTAATAACCAGGTTTTGGACATCATATTTTCAGTAGCTGTGAATAATTCTATTGTCCATCTTGGTAGATAATACTTCCAATAAATTGAGCAAAGTAATAAATTATCAATATTCTTAAACTTGGATTAAGTTATTTGAACCTCAATTTTTGAATTCAGATTCCTTATAGAACCCTAAGAGAGAAAAGTTTCATATTACTTTTCCAGATTGAGTTGACCCCTAGAGAGAGAGGATGGTTTATAAGACAATCGCCACTGCTTTAAAAGTTAATGATATGTTCTATGATTGCAATGGAGAAAAACTTGTATTCCAAAGAAATTCATAAAATAATAAATCATTCAAACTTGTATTTAAGAAATTTCAGATACAACTTTTAGTACACTTGTAAGTGAGGTACTTTATTTGGAAAAAACAAAAGCAAAAGGTAATAATGAAAGGTTCATGACTTTGGGTTTGGGTGAACTTAAAAACGAAGTGAGCTTTAAGACGAGATGATCAACCGATGATCAAGCGTTGTATAAAGCTTTAATTCCTTGAATATCATCCCCATGCAAACCTTTGGTCACTCCAGGGGGTATAGTCGGGTACATAATAGCTCCCAGAACAGAGCTGTGCCCAAGCCCAAGAAGGTGCCCTATTTCATGCAAAGCCACAGTCTCCAAGTCATAAGCACCACTCACGGCGCCCACAGAAAACCGCTCATCAGCGTCGTAGTGAAATCTCCCGTTTGTTGGCGCAAATGCATGGGCTATGGTCCCTCCTGGCCCGTCAAAGGGAGCTCCGTCTCCATGATTACCCCTGTGAAAACTCACCGTCAGATCGGGGTTCTGATTGCTCTGGCTGAAAGTGAAGTGTGTGTTGGCGGCCCATGTCTGAAAAGCACGTGCAACTGGTCCCGTGGCCTCAGCTGGGGTGCCTTGAAGAAAGGCATAGGTGAGGTGATACTTAGAGGCCGGCCATTTTGGGTTTCCTCTGAAGAAAGTATAATGAGCAACTGTGTGTCCTCCGTGGTGATGGTGGTGAGGGTGTCTTTGTTTGCCTGATCGCATGGAGGAGGTACCATTGATGATATCTGCGACACCGCAACGTGGCATCATCATATTGGATACAGTTTCAGCATCCAATGTTCCAGTGGCTTTGAGGTGGTAATTGAGTTGGTATGTTTTGATGGCTGACTCCAGTTGGTCGTCAAAATCATCATCGTTGAAGTGACCATTATTGTTGCTGCTTAAGTAACCAAATTTTCCGAGGTATTTTTTGAGGTCTTGGATGCCTTGAACCTTGTCACCCTTGTGGCATCCCTTGAGATGCTCAAGGAACTCGAATGGTGATGTTGTTTTTCGGTGGGTTTCTGATGAGGTTGCATGGGATGAGAGGAGAGAAAGGAGGATGAGGAGGAGAGAAAGATAGGATTTTGATGCCATTGATTGATACTAGTCGTATAGCTAGAAAGGAAGTAGATTTTGAATCTGTGTTGCAATTCAAGCTTCACATTTGGAGTGTTATTTATAGGTGTGTACATATAGATTAACGTAGGCGTTACGGTGATATAATAACACTCAAATTTTCGAATTGTTTTTTAAACGGCCTGGTCTTCTTCCATGTATGGTACGCCATGACTTTGACTGTAGCTAGCTTGGTCTTGAGGTTCCAGACGCCGGCCGGGAAGGGGAATAAAAAATAAAAAAAGAGTGAGAAGAATAATGGCAAGAACACAAAAATAAAGAGACTAATTTTTCACCCAAAACACAAAAACAGAAGAGATTAATTATTTATTGATCGTCTACCTGATCAACCCATGAAACAAGTCCTAATTTAATCTAAGCACATTCCAAGTCAAAGTCAACGTAAAGTCAAGTAACTACAAATGCAAACACACATCCAATATGCTTCTTTATAATCACTGGAGGATGCATGAATTTTTTAATGAAGGTGCAATTTTTAAAGCCACAAGATTTGATCGATGATTAATTTTTTATAAAGACTTGAAATTCTCTATATATAAAAATAATAAAAAAGACTGGTGGGGACATTAAAAAAAAGTATATATATAACGTTTTATAAATACTTTTTAAATTTATTTAACTAAGATGTTTTGTAAAGAGTTGGATGGGGTTCTCTCTTAAAAAACAGAAAAAGACTTGGTGTGGTGGGAACGGAAAAGATCTCTGAAAAG